CATCAGTTCTCTCGGCGGGTCTTCTAGTATGCGTCGGGTGATGTCAATATCCTCATAAATACTAATCTAGCCATAGGCAGTCAGATAATGCTAGGCTGGTCATAAAAGTCTATACATGGGAAAATTTGTGGCAGCGCCTGCCTTCACTTGTTGATTGTACCACTGCCACAACACAGCGCCGCTGTCCGGCTCCTTTGAAGATGAATTAATGGATCGGAATAAGACAGGGAAACCCAGTCCTCTGTATCAATATCTATCAGCTATGCCCATGCTCCAACAAGGCTCATGCAGAAAGCGCCCATGAAAACTAGTAGACATGCAAAAACACGTTTCCGGCCCCTGAGAACACGCCAGCTTTCGTCACTGAGAAAATCCTCCGACATCAATTCGACGAGAGAGGCAAAGATGAGAAGGCCAGAGGATATTGCGTTCATGGTGCCCACCAGGAGCAGTCCTACTTCTGAATCTGGGCTGTAAAGGGTATGTGTTGCGAGGCCTATTGCCTGGCCGATCGGTGTTCTGAAGAGAATCAGTATTTTAAGCAATGTGAAAGTAGACAAGATCAGAGAACTTACGTGCATCCGTAAGCCAAGGACATAAGCCATGGCTGGATAGCTTTCTCCGGCCAGTCGAGGGCAGCGATGCGAGAACCCAATGCGAGACCCTCGAATGTTTCTATCCGATGTTAGCTGGATCTAAAACAAGAGCTAAGAGGGGAGACATACGATGGAATACGATGGCAATCAACAGGATAACAAACTCGCCGCCTACCGAGACACTGAGTGACATTCCGATGAATACACTGTGAAAGAGGATCCCCATTTCCAAGAGCAAAACCTGCATGACGGCTTTTTTGTGTTTTTGCTCGGGGGTGACGCCGAGATTGTCGTTTCGTTCCACGTCCTCGACCGGCTGTACTTTGCTCCCTTGAAACGTTCGCATGCCTTCCGGAGCAGAAGCAATGCGCATGATGCGATCGGATCCTTCACCCATACGGTTGATAGTGCGACTCACGCTAGATTGCCTGCCAATCAATGGGCCGAGGTCACGCAAGTGCGATAGACTTTCGACCCTTGTACAGATCGGTCGTTTGACCTCACCTGGGCATTCTGAGTCTTTGGCAATAGGGGCACCGGAGTTGCAGATACTATTTTCGGACCGAGACACCTTCTGCTCTGAGACTTTGAGTCCACCACGGCACACATGTCGTGCAGGACTGAAGACCATTTCGACAACAGTCACCAGGAAGATTCCTGCTAGAGCAATGGCTCCTGGCATGGCGGGGTAGTCGGTGGTCCAAAAGTCTGACAAGCAGGGATTATTGAGGGAAGTAAATGCAGTCGGAAGGAGATGAACAAATGCGGTGGCAATGAGGACGCCCGTGCCGAAATGGCTGAAGGTAAAGAGGACTGGTGGGGGGATGCGTAGACGAGGGAACCATGTTGCCAATACGGGGAACACGCAGGCCAAGGTAGAGACGCTCAAGATGATAAAAAGCGCGCCTATGTGGAGAGAGGTGTTGTATTCGCCGTTCTTGACGCCTCCTTGGGCACATGTGGATCGTTTGATCAGTTTTGCTTGTGAGTTGCCTGGAATTCCTGGTCATTATTATCAGGACAGTCTGAAGAGGGACACTGTTACCTACCTGCTGTATCAGAGACCGAAACGGTAGAGCTGAAGTATCTTCCCAGGCTCTCATGGGAGATGAGCGCAGAGGTCAAGAGAACTGACAGCAGCCACCAGGCCCAGCTCTTGATCTTTTCAAGGGACGATCGATCAAGATGGCAGATACGATGGATTTGACTAGAGATATTGTTGTTTTGAACGTAGTTGGGGCGTCCTATAGATGTCAACGAAGATGCATGATCTAGTCAGTCATTGGAAACATACCTGACGGTGTCAGTGACGCCCCAAGAGACTTGAACCGATCCCCAATTGGAGTATTTCGTCGTTCAGGCATAGTTTGGGTGTCGTCCCAGCTGGTCGACGAAACGGCATCCAGCCCAGAGCCCGATCTGTACACGCGGGCATTGGTGATGCCGTTGAAGTTTTGGCGGGTGGTCAAATCCGGCGCCAGAGAAGGGGGATTCTGATTCCATTCGCAGAGTAGAAGAGTGTCGTCTGTTCGGGAGGGACAATTCATGTTGGTAACCGGTCTAAGACTTCTTCATGCTCGAGTGCCGATGGATAGCGGTAGAATTGAGAGAGAACCCGAGAATCCTGACAGGCAGAAGTGAAGAACGGCCATCTTAATACGTAAGATAATCGGAAGGGATTCTTTCTTGGCTCCATCACGAAACGGCTTGGCATCGGGAGTCGAATTCGCCTTCAGATCAGGTGGGAAAGATCCCATCTATTGCTGCGTGCTGAATCTCTCTCGCCAGGGTTCCCTGCGCAATTCCATTCAACTGTACCCTGCGCAAGTCCATTCAGATGCATGATAGATCTCAATTATGCCTGGCACACTGTGTTGTCGTGCACCCATTTGCTCTTCTTCTGCTCTATCCCGAGGTTCTTGGCGTCCCACTCCGGTTTCTTCCTTAACCGGCGCTCACTCTCGCTGGATTTCCCCTCGGTTCTCGTGTTGTGCGCGTGTGATGATGCCTGATGATATTTAAATACTGACTGTTGTTTGTCTGGGCCACCATCTTCCTATTCAACTATCATAAGGTTAACAGTCGAATCAGCCGACGGTGATTAGCAACCAAAGGCTGGTTGGTGCATTCGCTATTCATTCAGTCATATTCGGAATCCTATTCCATCGCCAACCCATTCATAGTCGACTAGCACTTTGAGTATTGAACTTGCACTTAAACTAAATCACCCATGAGGCTGTGAAAGAAAATGGCTGTTGTCGAGCATCTGGAATGATTCTCCAATGACATCTGGCATTCCAGATCCCCCACTTCCGGATTGCATTCGTGCCGTTGTCATGTCCATACCTGCCAAGCTTCACAAGATATCTGAACCAAGATGCAGTATCATGGGCAGTGCCTCGTCGACACAGCCGCCACCGGAAAACTCCTCTACGCCAATGTTGGCCTGAGTTTCTGGGCTGGGGTCGACTCCCAGACCGGAGAGATCATTGACCGCCATCATCCTCTCCACGGACAATCGCTCGACGGTCGCATATTGGCCATTCCGTCCAGCAGAGGATCATGTACAGGCAGCATTGTGCTGATAGAGCTGCTGTTGAATAAATGTGCCCCCGCCGGGCTCATCTTCCAAGAGCCAGAGCAGATCATCACACTAGGGGTCATCGTGGCCAAGACACTCCTCGACCTCTCCATTCCGGTACTCGTCCTCAAACCGGAGGAATTCCAATCGCTCAAAGAACATAAATACGCTGCAATTACAGGGCCAACCCTCCAAACCGGAGAGCACCCTCTCCCGCCACCCACCTACGAAGCACCTTCATCGCCCCCAGCAAAAACCCTGCACCTGTCCGAAACCGACCAGGCAATTCTCCATGGCGCCCGAGGAGCAGCTGCCCAAAAAGCAATGGAGATTCTCCTGAGCTTCGCCCAGATCCAAGGCGCGACGAGGCTCATCGACATCTCCCGCGCCCACGTCGACGCCTGCATCTACACCGGGTCCGCCAGTCTGCGGGTCCCGCAAACATTTCTCTCTCTGGGCGCTCGCTTCGCCATTCCAACCACGCTGAATGCCATCTCCATTGACCGGCGCCGTTGGAGGGAGATCGGCATCAAGGAAGAACTGGCAATTCCCGCCGACCAGCTGGTGGAGACCTACCTGGCCATGGGCGTGCGGCCCGTCTTCACCTGTGCACCGTACCTGCTGGAGTCTGCCCCCGCGGCAGGGCAGGATATCGGCTGGGCCGAGTCCAATGCGGTGGTGTTTGCGAATAGTGTGCTTGGGGCGCGGACGCAAAAGTATCCCGATCTGATCGATGTGTGTATTGCGTTGACGGGGAGGGCTCCCTTGGCGGGCGGGCATGCAGATGAAGGGCGGACCCCGTCGGTGGTGGTCGAAGTCGCGGATTTGCCGAAGATCGATGACGCAGTATGGCCGTCGTTAGGATACCAGATTGGTCAGCTTGCTGGGGGGGATATACCCTTGATTGTCGGTTTGGAGCACACGACGCCTCGTATTGCCGACCTCAAAGCCTTTGGGGCTGCTTTTGCGACAACGGCGTCCGCGTCCATGTTCCATATACAAGGTGTGACTCCGGAAGCGACCAAGTTCGAGGGGATAGGGCAAACAGCGAAGCGGCAGGTCGTGCACGAATCCGACCTCGTGCGGACGTGGGAAGACCTGAACACCGCTAAAGACTCGTCAGTTGGTCTGGTGTCTTTGGGGAATCCGCACTTCTCGCTGGAAGAATTCGAAGCGCTCTCCCGCCTGTGCGCCAATCGCAAGAAAGATCCTTTGGTTCAGATGATGATTACAACCGGTCGAGAGACCTATGACCTCGCGGCTAGCAACGGTTATATTCAAAAACTGGAAGCATTTGGTGCCACCATCCTCACTGATACCTGCTGGTGCATGATCCGCGAGCCGGTAATACCTCCACAGACAGTCAATCTTATGACGAATTCCGCCAAGTATGCGCATTATGGTCCAGGAATGGTGCAGCGAGGAGTGCATTTTGGAAGCCTAGCCCAGTGTGTGGTGGCCAGCTGCACAGGCTATTTTGGTGGAGGGCCATCATGGAAGCAAGACTGTACAGATGACCTGTGACATACATCAACAAGAGGTTGTTGGTCTCATGACCCCCTCGCCATAAAGCTGGGTCTGCAGTGCTGTGCCTGACGGACCACGCATCGGGTACCTTAGTGCAGTCAAAATGCGAGGATCAGTTTGTATACTTGATGACGGAAGAATTACCACGACACAGACCTGGCAGCCACCGCTTTACTACAAAGCTTCGAAATATGAATCGGATGTACACATGCATCAAATAAGTCAACATAATATCAAACAAGTCCTCAAGTCAATATTTTGTCCACTCGTTTACAACTCTCGTTTCTAATCTCGACATGCGCCACGGATCAGTTCTCGTAGCCATCACGGCTACCTTGTTCGCATGCCATGTTTCGGCAAAGAACGTCCCCTCAGCCCTCAAAGCCTTCTACAACAAGGCCAGAAGCGGCGGCGATTGCACCGGTGCCGACGCTCTCCAAGCGGGCTTCTACAACACCGAATGGAGCGGCGGTCAGACAACCTACTGCACCAAATACCTCCCTACCGGCATGGGCTTCTACCTCAAGGGTCCCGGGTCCGACCTGGCAAACATGGACATCGACTGCGATGGGGAGCAGAGCAGCGGTGACGTACGCTGCAAGTCGTCAACCGACACACAAGGCCAGACACGGTGGGGTCTGAGACACCTCGAAAAGTACGGGGTCAGGGATCTCAACGCGAATATCCACCCGTATGTCGTCCTGGGAAACGAGGGCAGCTACAGCCCGACGTTTGACCCGCGCACGGTTGGCGTCGAGCCCCTGAGCATTGTGGCCGTCGTGTGCGGCGACGAGCTCGTCTACGGGGTTTGGGGCGACACCAACGGGGACGACAACGAGCATCCCATGGTTGGAGAAGCCAGTCTGGCGCTGGCGACCGCGTGCTATGGCCCGAGTATCGGCGGTAACAGCGGCCACGATGAGGCCGATGTGTTGTACATTGCTTTTGCGGGCAAGGAGGCTGTGCCTGCCAGCGCCAAGTGGGACGCAGACAGCTACGAGGCGTTCGAGGGGAGCATCACTGCGCAGGGGGATGAGTTGGTCGCGCAATTGTTTGGCGACAAGTCAACAACGACCAGTGACTCTGATCCTCAACACGCGACTTCATGGGGTAACGGCGACAACGACGACGATGACTCGAAACACGAACACAAGTCCGGCGGCCGGCGAAACACGATACCACGACTTTGCTTCATTGGGATCGCCTTGATTGCCCTGGCCTGATTCGGCCATTCATAATCTACGATATCTGCAGCGGCATGCGCTTTTGCTTTACTGAAATTGAACATACACAGGGGTATTTGTAATCACTGACAATCTTGCTGCAAATTTTGATTTTCACATGTCAGTCATGGATCAGACGGTGCCTGCCATGTTTTTGCTCGCATAATCGATGATGTATTCCACATTTGTCGATCTCCACCCCACATACGGATACATCACGGCGCTTTCCGGGCTCGCCGAAGCCAACATAACGGCCAGCAGTCTATGATATAATGAACTGGAGCAACATTTAAATAATTGAGATTCTACCAAGTCCTCATGTATATCCTCTCCATCAAGAATATCCGTATATAGACAAACAAAATGGCCATCGATTTTACCGTGTACAAAGGCTCCTCCGACGGCTCCATCAAAAAAGCCACCACCCACCGCGATGGCCTCCAAGGCGACTCGGTCCTCGTGCGCGTCACCCACTCCGGCGTCTGCTTTACGGATGTGCACTTCATGAAGGCCGACATGGCGCTCGGCCACGAAGGCGCAGGGGTGGTCGAGGCAACCGGCCCGGACGCCAAGCACCTGAAGAAAGGCGACCGGGTCGGCTGGGGCTACGAGCACGACTGCTGCGGGCATTGCAAGCAGTGTCTGACGGGCTGGGAGACCTTCTGTCCCGAGCGCAAAATGTACGGATCTGCCGATCACGACCAGGGCTCGTTTGCGACGCACGCCGTCTGGCGCGAGGCCTTCCTCTTCAAGGTCCCCGATGCGATGAGCAACCAGGACGCAGCGCCGCTGATGTGCGGCGGTTCGACGGTGTGGAATGCCCTGATGGTCGGCGACGTGAAGCCCACGTCGCGTGTGGGGATCGTGGGGATCGGGGGCCTGGGCCATCTGGCCATCCAGTTCGCGGCCAAGATGGGCTGCGAGGTGGTGGTGTTCTCCGGCAGCGACAACAAGAAGGACGAGGCGATGAAGCTGGGCGCGTCGGAGTTTCATGCGACCAAGGGCGCCAAGGAGCTCAAGGTCAGCAAGCCGCTGGACCACCTGCTCATCACCATGAGCGCTCAGCCCGACTGGAAGCTGTACCTAAATGTTCTGGCGCCGGGTGCGGTCATCTCCCCGTTGACGGTGGATACCGAAGAGGATCTGAGAATCCCATACATGCCTCTGCTGGACACCGGGATCCGGATTCAGGGCAGTATAGTTGCGGCTCGCCAGTTGCATCGGGACATGCTCGAGTTTGCGGCACACCACGGCATCAAGCCCATCATCATGACGTACCCGATGAGCGTGGAGGGGATCCAGGATTGTCTGAAGACGCTGCAAGATGGCAAGATGAGATATCGGGGGGTTTTGGTTGCAGATAAACAGTTATAGCAATATCGTCATGCTGTATTTCCTCTATAGCGGTCAATATTGAGGACTTCCCTGTATGTTAACACGATCAGGTCGCCGATCGAGCCCGGCACTGGTCACTTTTCTTTTCTTTTTTTTTCCCTTCTGCGGTTTCCATCTATCGCATTTTAGAGTTTCCCTTTTTGCTTTATCATACTTTCTTAGCATATTGGCGTATGGTTTTTATTAACATAATTGATTAGCTGGGATGCTCAGTGCGACGTCAATGTAGACACCGTGGAACGATACCTTAGACACAGTTAGCTGAATTCGTGACCAAGAAAATGTCGACCTGTTTCTCAGTCTCTGATTGAGATTGCCCAGACAATCCTCCTGTCTCGGAAGGTCTACAGGGTTCCGAATCCTGAATCTAATATAGCGGGTACTGCAGCTGGTCTGCCTATCAATGGCGTCATGCCACAACTTGGCCAACTTAAGCGGCAACAAGGCGCCAATAGGGAGGAGACGTTACGCACACACTGCGAAATAGCGCCGGGGATTGGGACCGCTTTAGATCCCGCTGGAGTTGACGGATGCGGCCGACTCTGCTATTGGCCTCGTGCAGGCGCCACTTCAACGTTATTGCTGAGTGGCACGCGTCCTGCGGGGCCATAGGACAATCAGAGCTGCCTGGTTCCCGTCCTTAAAAGCGCTGAGAGATCATCGACCTCTGCGGCCGTGTGGGTGTGTGTGTGGATAATAGTTAGCCATATCTCCTGCTGACAGCATTGCGCTGATGCCGCTTTTTCGGCCTTGGACCCGTCTTCCGTCGCGACGGATTCACCTCCTCTCCCCTGTCATCGGGCTCTTTCTGGTTTACTTCCTCTGTTTCTCTGACACAACAGCATTCACTCCAAAAGTCGTTGTCACTCCGATCTCATCACAACAAGGAGAAAACGGATGTCCCCCGCTCCCAGGTATCGAGGATGTCCTGGTTATCCTGAAAACAGGCGTCACAGAAGCACTGGAGAAAGTGCCGGTTCACTTTCAAACAACCCTTCGATGCATTCCCAATTACGTGCTCTTCTCGGATTTTGAGGAGGAGATCAACGGGACCCACGTACATGATGTACTTCGCAGCGTCAACGAGACCATCAAACGTACCAACCCGGACTTTGAGCTCTACAACCGCATACATGAACACGGGCGCAGCGGACTCGCGCCGGCCGACCTCAACCGCGTCCCTAACACCGCATTCGGAATGCCTGACAACCCCGGCTGGAAGCTGGACAAATGGAAGTTCCTCCCCATGATCAACGAAACACTTCGGGTCCGCGACGATGCCAAATGGTACGTATTCATGGAGGCCGACACATACTATATCTGGTCGAATCTGCTGCAGTGGCTGGCGAAACTCGATCCGAACAGACCCTACTACCTGGGTAATCCGACGCAGATTGGCCCTACCCTCTTCGCTCATGGCGGGTCGGGGTTTATACTGTCGCGAAAAGCCATGCATCGAGCGTCGGAACTACGAGCTAAAGACATTGACGGATGGGACCGATATACCGAGGAGCAGTGGGCCGGTGACTCCGTGCTGGGAACGCTGCTCCATGACGCTGGAGTACCCTTGTTGTGGTCGTGGCCCTTTCTGCAGTCAGATACTCCCGCAGCGTTTGATCACTTCTCCGAGGCTTATTTGAGAAAGCCACCATGGTGTTACCCTGCGGTTGCGTATCACCATGTGACGGCGGAGGATATCCAAGAGCTAGCAGAGTTTGAGCAGATGTTCTTTCAGAACGTAAGTTTTCCATTGAATATCTTGCGGAAATTTGCTAACGGGAGAAGAATTCTATCATATTGCACAGCGACGTGTTTCGTCATCTCATCCAGCCACAGCTCAAATCTCTACAACGCGACTGGGATAACCTCTCTGAAGAGGAGCAAGTCATCGATGCGGCTGGCTGTAGAGAGTTGTGCGCGAGCGATCGTGAATGTCTCCAGTATTCTTATGAGTCCGGGAAGTGTCGCACTTCCAAAATGGCTAAACGGGGAGTCCAGAAGACTGGAGTTTCCTCTGGGTGGATAACTGAACGGATTGACGCCATTGTAGAAGAGCTGGGCACTTGCGCGAAACCGCAATGGATTCTCCCCTAGCTCGATGAGGCTAATTTGTACATAACCGCATTCTCGTCAGGCTGGCCCTTATCATTCTAGCATGTCCTTACTACTCCTGCATTCTACGATACCTACGAAACAAGGGGCAATTCTGAAGCCATAAATTCATCGCCCCCCTGGAGGCAAGCAGTCTTCCAAGATTTTCCTAATGGCCGATATCCATGGCTTCGACATATCATCGGGACTTCAGTTCCCTCATCGTAGCCCCATCCATAGGAAATAGTGTCTTCCGTCCATTAATCGCACCACAGGCGATCGGCCAAGTACCATGAGTTTGACACTACCGCTGCATATAGGCACGGTCGGCGACGTATTCATAAACACATGCTCATCATACCTATATAGAGCGGTTTCTGCACAACCCACGCGGACAGGCTCAGGTGACTCGAGTGTTTGACAGAATGCAATCCTTTAATTGTTTGCCATGCCGTGGCCTGCTCCGGCTACGTAAGTCAGCCCGTTGTCGCAGTTCACCTGTGAAACCATAGGGTAACTTGCGTCGTGGTATGTTTGGCTTAGGATCTAGAACCCAGCTTTTATCCGATGCAAATACGATGGAAGATGATTGATGCCATGTGTGTCGACGCCCGTAGATCAGCGAGTGCACGACACCCACGATGCGGTAAGGGGAGCCAGGACTCCATCGCATTACCTCATTTTGGTTGCACGGCAGGCACTGTAGGTCAAGATACATAATGTTGCATCTCAGTAAGCTTGTGTGTCACTAGCAATCCATGAGGATGGTTACACTTGAGAATACACGGGAGGCCCCTGGTAGATAGCATTTCTAAGACAGAGCTGAGAGCGAGTATCGTGTGCTTATAGGAGAGAATCTAGTACATTTCTTTATACACTGTTCTTAACCCGGAGTGGACAATTACCTGACGCTATTCATGGACTACGACCTACGAATCGACCTATGCAAAGAGTGAAGAAAAAGTTGGGTTGATTGATTGATTCCAAATCCCAATTAGAAGAAGAAACATGCCAGATCCCCAATAAAAATTCAAATGGGTATAGCCTCCTGCTTAAACTCCTAAACTCCCACACACAGTCCTCCAATGGCAGGCACCAGTAAAAAACCCTTTGCTTGTAAAACCTCTGGAGTAATGGATTTCTCTCGAGAGGAAACCAAGCAAAAGGAAAAAGGTATGCCTGCCTGTTCGGTTCGAATTTGAAGGTCGATTAGATCCCGTTCTGATAAGTTGTTGCTGTTGAAATAATTTCGCAGTCTGTCGTATGAATCGTGGCCTATTTGAGTTCGTGAGGTAACCAATTTCCCGAGACGAGTATTTGCAGATTTGGTACAAAGAGGTAGGCGGTTGTCGCCCTCGAGAAGAGTATCTTGACCTCAGTAGAGGCGAGAAGGGGAGATCGAGGGCCTGAACCGAGTACCAGGAATGGGTGAGACTCTTCGGTCCATAATGTCGCGGAAGAACCGGCGGAAGTACGAGTACGCCTCGTTCGATTTTGCACCGCTATCGGGTCGCAGAATGGTTCGGTGGAATGAGATCTAATGGTTGTTGGCGTGCTATGATGCTAATTCTCGGAATCGGGTGTCGTACCATGTCGTTGTCGTCGATCTCGAGGAAGTAGAATTCTTTTCCGTTGGTCGCAACGCCGTAGACCGAGGTGAGCCGTTTGTTTTCACTCTTTCGAGCGTTATGGCAGAGTGCTATAATGCGTTAGCCAGTGTCCCACCAGATTGTTGCGTATAGAACTCACCCATGAATGAGATGCACTGCCAGAGGATGGTCGCCGGCCACGGATTGACGCAGATGACAACGCCGATACCATTGCCAGGCTCCGCGGCGTTGTTCACAACGAAATCGAGCTCTCCTTCAATCGGGAATCTGACGCCCAGAGCCTCAACTTCTTGTTCAAAACCTCTACACCGAGGAATGGAAATCACTGCTGAAAAGCGTTTGACGGGATTGTGTTTGCGATACTCGAGCTCCTCCACGTAGCAGTGATTTAGGATTGCTCTGATTCGTTTGCAGGAGGTTTCGTGGTCGAGATACTGCGGGTCGTTCTTGTCTAATATAGCTAGATTGCGTACTGATGCTAGTCGGTCTCCGAGTTTTGCTGATGACAATGAAGGCGTGCGTGCTTGTGCTTACCGAGGCTGATGGGGATGGGGGCCTTTTCGCGTTGCTCTAGGGTCCACACTCCACGTGGGTTCGGGTGACGAGACAGGCCGAACAATGGATAGAGCGTATGGGACAGGAACCCTTCCGTGATCTCATCCGGAGTTGGATCCCTCTGTCGTAGAGGAGGCGAAGGAGGCAAGGGCCCCTTTCGCCCGACAAAGGGCCAGTCGGGGTCCTCCTCTTCGTTCTCCGAAGGCGGTGTTTCTGTAGGCGAGATCAATGACCACGCCTGTGAGGGCGATGTTGCTGTTGATGGTGTTGCTGCTAGCGAGGTCGTTGTCGACCATGTTTTTGATGGTATGATTGTGTTGGCGATGTCCGTGAGGATCATGTTCATGGTGGTGAGTTTGTCAATGACTATGTCTTTGACGTCAATGTCGCTGTTGGCAAGATTGTTGATGACGGTGTCGTCGATTGCCATGCCAATGTGGGCGAGGTCGCTGGCGATCTTATTTCTGAGGGCAATATTGCTGTTGAGAAGGTCTTCGATCACCATGTCTTCGAGGGTCGTGTCGTTGATGGAAATGTGTCTGATCGTCATGTTGTTTGTCGCTGTCGTTGTCGTTCGTCGATATTTGTCGATGTTGTCGGATGGATGCATCGAGCAGGAATGCAGAGCTGGAAGACGGGGTTCTTATAGTGCTGGCTGTTGACTCTGGACATGTGCTCATTTCGTCTCGTAACCACGGTAGAATCTGTCTTTTGCTGGTTGAAGATCTAAAAATAAGACATTCGCAGAGTTTTCCGGCAGTAACCACGAAACCATCTAGTTGAGAATGATGCAAGTATGAGCGTGTATGCTCATGAGAATGTTGTCCGAGAAAGAGTTGTTCGAGACAGAGCGTTGTTTAGAGGCAGAGGTCTCGCCTTCGGTCATTTCGATGATCAGTTCAAAGTGATCGTCTAATATCCTTCCTCATGTCAAATCTGTACCAGGTAGGTTTAGCATACTGTTGCTCAAGCAGCACTGATCTACACTATTTTTGTCATAACGCAAAACATTCTCATAAGACTGGAAAGTTTTTCTTGTACAAGAACACGTCTAGATGAAATCATACCCTCATTCGACTGGTCTAGGCAACAATAGACTGCAGTGCCTTCCAGTCTGTCATGACTCATGACAAGAAAACTGAGATGAGGGACGGAGATACTGCTATCTTGGAAACTACTAAACATTGGCTCAATTCTCCACACTTTACGATTAAGTTATCAACTTATCTCCCTTCTCCCCGCATAGACATAGATTGTCCAACCTTATTCTGCCAAGCACCAAAAGCCTCTTACAACACCTCAAGCAGTTAGAGCGCTACGTACACTCCTAGAGAACGATGCGTCGGGCAATATCCAATTCAAAAGCCATGATAGAAACCGGTTCCCCATATGGACAGATTAGAGAGACCCTCACTAGCAGAATCCAAAGTATAAGACGAGGGTGTCTCCCATGTATATAAACCAGAAAGCCTTCAAACGAACCAATCCCGACTTAATTTAAGGTCTGATTTACAAGATTGCCTTTACAGATTTTGGCGAATGCTTTCCTTCTTTATAATGTATAGGAAAGATTAGTTGACGGGGTACCTTCAAGGTTGATCTTGATTGGAAATTCACCACATCTTACGAGTGTCTCAGAACCATAGCCACTCATGCAAGGTTTCCAGCTGTTTTTAATTTTATTTCTGGATATCTTTGCCGTCTACAATAGATATACCTCAGGCAAATGGTCAAGGCTGGCAAAGTCCTGTGTGGTGTGCTTGCATTCTGTCTTGTGGATCAAGGTTGTGCTAAATACTCTAAGACAACAACTGTTCTGACCACACCTAATATAAAGGAGTGAAACAATGACGTATCCAACCTTACCGTCTCTTGATGTGATGAGCGCCGAGCATGCATCCCAATATACCAGCAGCACAGATGCTCCTCTGGCCTTCTTTTCGTGCCTGCGCAATTCTTTCCCCGTTGGACACTATACTTGGAGATTTAGTCAACCACTGCAGATACAAGAGATGCTCCTCGATGTTTCAAGTCTGCGTTTATTTTTGGTCACTAAGAAGAGAATTGGCTATACTCTCTACAGGCCAACCCGTCTTTTGCCCCCAAATCCTCATCTCGTCTACAATTTCGCTTAGTTTCTGGGCATCTTTTAGCCACGGCCCACCTATGATTATTATAAGCATAGGCCATCACCAAGAAAGGACTGCAGAAGTCTTACAGAAAGCTATTGGCCCAAAGGAATTGACCCAAACTGGCGCAGACCTACTCGATAGCGCCAAAGCGCATACAATCGTGGCGTGGTGTCCTAGTTTGCTTTCCAGGCTGTTGATCCTTTCGATATGCTGCAGAGTGTTGACCAAGGAAGGACAAGGCTCCGCAAGCCAGAGGATTATCATCGCTGTGTGATAGTATTGTAGGCCGGCAGCTGCTACTATCAGTAAACCAGAGGATTACATATATAGGAGGGATCCGTACCGTGCCAGCCTGACGTCGTCCACATACTCGGAAAGCTGGTGTTGGGGAGCAGATGTGGTGTAAGGATGGGGTCGAATGATGAAGGGAGCGATGTCCCCCAAGCTGGTCTCTCAGACTCTTCCACTTGGATTGGCCCAGGGGAACAGCATCACGTAGAAGACACCTGTTGATGACTCTTCCTAGGAGGTAAGTGATGCGATTGGCGAGATCGTCATCACATTCAGTCCTCGTGGGCAGAGGCTCATCCGGGAGCTGAATCATGAGGCTGCGTTTCTCTATGAGTGCGACCGTGATGTCCTCTCTCAGGTAATTCCAGAGACCGGCACTCAACAATCGGGAGTCTATCTCGATGGGATGTCTCGCCAGCAACGAATAGGATCCTTGAAGGTGATTCTGGCAGGTAACATTTTCTAATTCAATCAAGAGTAGGGCATCAGCTGGTAGATATGCATCCTAGTTGTGATCATACTTACGCGAGATAATTTCGTATGATCGAAGAAGACATATCGCAACCAAGGTCTCGCCTGTTCGAAACTCATCAGGATGCTTCATGAGAGCCAAAAGTCTTCTCACGCTCTCGAGATGATATGCGTCGGCTAGATCTTTGAGAGGAGTTGAGCCTGATGATGAGCTCTGGCTGGCTGCGGCGAAGGCCAGTATTGCATTGAGGAGTAAGGCATTCTTTCTTGCGAGGATAGGAACTATGTCCGTAAAATGACGTCTTCGATCATTCAGATCGTACCAACCAGCTAGATTATCGATGTAAGATCGAAATATGTGAGCTACTTGCGGGTCCTCTAAAGCTTTCGTAGGGTCGCTGGTCGGGACATATTCGTCACTCCGGGATATCAGGATATCTAGACTGGCTTGAACACAAGATCCTGGTAAGGTTGCAGATTGGCCCTGCTGGTTTGAGGATGCTATTGACCGGGGAGACCGGCCGGTGCCGTCGCTCCATGAACAGGGTCGTGAGCTTCGTTGACACCGTTGGCAACTCGGACGATTTCCATCACCTGAAACAAAAAGTACAAGTGAGCTGAGACGAGCCAAAGGAAGAGAAAGGGGGCTTACACTTGAGCTTTCGCAAGCGACACGGTTGGCTACAGGGGCAGTCAGCTCTCAGCTTGACAACTGACAACTGACAACTTGGAGTCAAGCTATCACGAACCAGCCTGACAAGACGACGTCAGTAAGTCTGTGCAAAAAGAGAGCTTAAATGTGGAACGCACGATCTGTGCGAAACGGACGTGGCATGGGATAATGCTTCAAGCTCGCATTATTGAGAGACGAGACTTCGCAATTGGAATGCGGGACTTGAGAGGGTCCTGGCTCGGTACAAAATGACCTCGATAAAATCCGATTACCTGTCCAAATTCTTTCCTCCTAAGAGCGAATCAGCAATAATCCCAAGTGATGTACTCTGTATGAGTGGCTGATTACCCCACATGGATCCCCCGCATTAAAGGGAATTGCGAATTGCGAATTGCGAAAGACGAGACTCAGTGACAAGTAATTGGGTAGCGGTTAAGGTATAAATATGGCGGCCATTGACAAAATCTAAGTACATTACAATGATCACGCATACCATTAACTATATAGCTAGCGATGCAAAGACTTGCATCTCCATTAACTTGTTGGTCTCGCTGCGCCCGCCCGTTAGCCGACCTTCGCCTTCGGGTACAGCAGAGAATGGCTTCCAGCTATCCCACCAGCATTCGTCCTTCCGCCACAGAGATCAAGAACGGCAAGCTCACGCCTCAGAATCTGGAGATTGCCATTCGCAGTCTGTACCATGACGGTCTTGTTGTGGTCGAAAATGCAGTGCCGCATGCCGCGCTCGATCGGCTGAACGAGAAGATGGTGAGGGACGCATATGCCCTGCAGAGCAGAAAGGAAAATAGTCCATATAATTATAACCGGGGCAATATACAGCAGGATCCTCCGCCTGTGAAGGACTACTTCGATCCTGGCATTTTTCTGAGTGAGTGCCGTGCCCCAACGACAAGGTCGTGCTAACAGTCTCTTCCCCAGACCCAATTGCTACGCAGATAACAAATACTGCCCTAGGACCTCGTCCAAAATGGACATTTTGCTCAGGAAATACAGCCATGCCTCCGACGGCAGACTGTCCCCCGACAACGCAGCCGGTCCATTCAGACGCAGATTTTGATCACCCAACGCACCCCTTTGCCTATGTGGTCAACATCCCCCTGATCGAGATGACCCCTGAGAACGGCTCCACGGAGATCTGGCTCGGAACTCACATCGACTCAGGCCTGCATGTACAAGAAGGACTGCACGGTGAACGAGCAAGCGGACGCATCAAGCTTGACGAGCTGGAAAAGCGACGAGCAATCCGGCCACCGCGCCAGCCTGTCGTTCCAAAGGGCGCCATAGTACTTCGCGATCTTCGACTCTGGCATGCTGGAGTCGGTAATCAAACTGATCAGGTCCGCGTAATGCTGGCGATGAGTAGGTTCCCTAGTGTCATTGGAGCATGGGCAACGCTAATGGACGGTTCACTTTGCTCCTTGGTACCGGAATCCGATGCCAATGGAATTTTCCGAAACTGTGCGGCCGATTATGGAGAAGCAGGACGGTCTCGAGGTGCCGGTTGACTGGGTGACTGAAGACGAGGCAATGTCGCGTTACCTGAACCGTGGTTTTGGCAACGCATATGACTTTAGCCAACAGCTTTAACGAAGGAATATAACACGCAGTTTCGCCATGTCTTGTTTCTCCTTTGGAAAGCCTGGAAATGACCGCCGTGGGTGTATGTCAATTTTGGTTATGTACATATCAGGAACAGACCTGGTGGTATGAGGATTTTGGAGCTTCAACAGTTCGGCGATGTGCTCTTCGTTGTATTGATAGGTTAGATGCGTGCCGGTAACTCTTGTGGCTGCGGTCGCAATTGTTGGCTGTCCAGCTCTGGTCGATATGATTGACCCTCCAGCTCCTTTGGGCTGAATGATATAGGAGCCCTGAATCTCAGTTGGAGGGATGGCGCGTTTATTGAGTCGTGTCGATCGCGCTCTTTAGGACCGCATGAACCAGACAACAAAAGCAAGAATAGCTAATGCAACCACTCCTCCAGCAACACCTCCAGCAATTGCTGCTGTGTTTGTGGAAGCTGCTGTTGGAGATGGCGAAGATGCTGTTGAAATAGTAGACCTGGTTGTTCGAGTAGTTGTTGTCGGCATTGAAGTGGACAATGTTGCCGAGAGCGATGTTGTTGTGCTTGTAGACGATGATGTTGACGGTGCTGGTGAAGATGATATTGTTGCTGAAGAAGAAGCGACTAAATGGTCTCTCAGTACTAGTAATCACATTCTTCCATAAGATACTCACTTGATCGCGTCACTATAATTGACAAAGCAGTCTGTCCCTGCTGCAAGACCTCGTCACAAATCCATTCGAGTCGACCTCGAACCCCTTTGCGTCCCGATCGCAGCAGAAGAAGTCTACTGCAAAATACAAATCCAAGGTACTATTTGCGCAGCGCTTTTCCTTGGGGCCCGATCTAGCCTTCCAGCATTCGTTGCCGTAATCGCCCGGCCCGTAATATGTGGCCGTAGGGCAGCAGTTGTGCCATTGTCCCCACGTCTGCCCGCAATCGAGCTCGTTACTCAGGCAGGTGTTGTTCCTTCGAACGACGAATCCGTCAGTCATTTGTAGGATAGAGATGAGTCTGTCGAGTAAATCCGAAAATGAGTCATAACGAGAAAAAAAGCGTGGAATAAAGCAGTTAAAGAACAGGGTAAGGATGCATCACAGTCTCCATTTTTCCTTGGGAACGAAGCGCTTACAAGAACTACCCAATACTGAGAAGAGAGCTCATGCAGTTTCACCATCTTAAAACCAGGCCAAATCCGCTCAACCGGTCTCGCGGGGTGGTGACCATCGAGGATCTCGGCGGCTAAAATGCCAATGACTACCACAGACTGTTCAGGACGAACTCCTAAGCGCCTGGAGTAGTGCATGTGAAGGAGCTTTGCTGGTAAAGAATTCATGGTTTGCAAGGAGATTGTCTATCGATTAACGGATATCATGGAGCTGTGGATAGTAATGGTACCAGCAGCAGTAGTAGTATATGAGTAACATGACACATATAAGAAAAATCTTATCTGTTAAAGACAAATCACTTCGCATGCCCTCTTTCTCTAGTCTTATTTTAACTTGTAAATGAGGCACCGCTGCTTGACCATATGGAGTAATGCTGTTTTCATTGCAAACCCTGCGCGTTGCGCACGAAGAATGAGTCGACATTCGCCAACCAGCCGATAGCTGCATTAGACGCTGCTCGGCGGAAATGTCGACGGCTGCACCAAGTCCAAAAATAATAGGACATACAGTACGGATGCATCATACAACCCTTAGAGATTATCACCTTTACCCTTGTCACAGATATCACGAATCTAGGGCCGTGTTGAGTTCACTTGTAGATACTTGATGTTGATAGCTCTAAAATCTTCGTCCATGGATTGAACCGAGCTTGACCTTAATCCAAACCATTACCACCAGGTCGCATCACAAAACACATACCCCTGCTGTTGGTTCCATCGCAGGAGCCACTACTCGCAAGGGTCCAAAGAACACCGGCTATTTCATTGGATCACCGCCGGTTGGGGTGCTCCAGTACCCTTTTAGCTGCTCCCAAGTAAGAGAAAGCACATGCTGAGTTGCTGAGACTGGCCGATGCTATCGACTATGGAATAAATCGATGACATACTAGCTAATCACTGATTGGAAGGATAAATCCCGCACATGCCGCAAAGCAGTGGGAAACAATCATCGAAGAGCAACCGATCATTGTCGCAATCTATTATCAACCGCAGTTCCCCATGCTCTGAGAAGCTTGAATCATCTCGACGTCTGACAGCCTTTTCCCACTAGGCTTGTTCTACTTCTGTCTGCTGTCAAATCCTCTTCTTGCCAGATACACCCTCACAACGGATCCTAACCGACAAATGTGGAGGCGCCAGCGACCCGAAACTGACTATGAACGATGGCAGCGGGAGCAAGACCAGAGCTACCAGCCCGGCGAACGACCACAATATGCACCTAGTTCCCCAGAGTCTCCCAGCGATAACTACCTAAACGAACATCAAACGGATGACTATGTGTTAGACGCAAGTGGCGAGTTTCGCCATGGACAACATTATGTAGACGACAGGCCCACATCGCAGGGTCATTTTGTATCCTCAGAAGCCCCGGCAAAGCCCATCACCAGCGAGGATAGCATCATAGTTACTGCCAGAAAGGTTTTGCGGTTCGGCAACGATACATTTATGGGCAGTCTACTTTTGTTCGCCGTCTTGTTGATGATCTTTTCGGGGCGTCAAAGTCAATCAAACGAGGCCGTCGCTGTCACACTCTTCCACAGTCGGACAACAACCGGGACGGTCCAAGGCTTGAGGGCAAGCGATCACTTTCGAGACTTGCAAGGTGCGCATAATAAATGTCGGGACGATTCTGCATCTGCGCAATTTCCAGGGAAAAGCATCCATTATTAGGAGGAAGCGCTGAGTTTGTCTGTAACCAAAGGGGCTATAGCCAAACTACGCGGATATCTTATATTCCCCGTAGTTTGTACTAGTGTATCTTCGGTTAATCCTAGAAAGGCATGCCCGCGGTCACCGGAGGAAGTAGGCCTTCTAGTAGACTTCAGGAGGGAACAGAATCTATCGTGGTCGGGGGTGATAAAGCGCTTCACAGTCAAATTTCCCGGGAGAACCCAAAGGGTCTATTCAGGTCTATTGCAGTACAAAATTCAAGACTGGACAGTGAATGAGCTGGCATATGGCCGTGCAGTTTGTAGAATGAGAATTGACTAGACACCAAAATGTTCTAGGCTTATACAGTTGGCTACTGCTGCAACGCCCGATCGCACAGAGGCAGCAGAGCAACCTTCGAAAGGAGCTCCGTGTTTTTCTTTTGCCGAGGAAGAAAAGCAGCTGGAAGAGCTGAAGGGGGGGAAAAAGAACTTGGCATCGGATCAGTTTGCGTAGCAATTTCCGGGTAGTAGTAAAGGACCGCCCCAAGTGTACTTAAGGTAGTATTCCAACCGAAAAGGTGCCAGGCAATCGCAATCCCTCAAGAAGGACCCGGATACGGAGGGTTTAAGGGAAGTCGTCGACCAGTAGAATAAGAGGTATACACACAGTATAACATAGTCTACATCACATCCAAGATACTGCACTCATTCCTGTGATGGTCTTATCTTCCTTTCGCGCTATTTAACTACCAGGATTAAATTATTTGGCAAGGACCTTCTCCCCACTCGAACTCGATTCTGACTGCGATCGCAACTAGCCAGACAAATGCGTGGTGGCCAGCTTATCGCCTATGGTATTGGTCCCCGAAGTGGCCTTGTCCCCCTTCACTCCGCTGTTCTCCATCTTGTCGGCTTCATCCGCTTTCGCTTTCTCCTCCTTAGCTTCTTCTCTCCGTCTATTCAATTGCTGGCGAAAAGCCACAGTATACTCATCCGGATCCCACGCCAAAATCCTGATTTTCATCTCTTCCAGCTTCCGAGCCACCAGTTGTTCCATCTCATCTTTTGTCTTCTCATCCAGCAGAACGAGTCTATCTTTCCACGCTTCCTCGGGGCTCTCAGTGGGCCCAAAAAACCGTGGGTCAATCTTCTGCCAGTATATTGCATCAAAGGCAAAGCTGTGCGACACTGCATACATGATCCAGAAATCTCCACTCTCCCAGCTCTGTTGCATAGGACCGGAGAGCCGCTGGTCTTCTTTCAACCGACCCTGCTGGATCGCTGTGTCTTCACAAGCCTTCATCACCTTGAGAAAGGTCTTCAAACGATGATCAAATACTCTTGTCCAGTCCTCAATGCCCTTTGACCAGAACTCAGGCTTCTCAATAAGCAGCCACCAAGGCGGCGCGTAAGAAAATTCAGCGGGTGCTGCGTATGTAAACTCCCAATCCACCACTCCAACAATTTGCATATTCTCATTAAGTAGTACATTAGCTGGCCGTAAATCATCACACCATATTTTGAAAGGCCCTTTCTCGACCGATGGATTGGTGAGTTGCTTATCCCTGGCGAGCTTACGGAAAAGCTGTCGCGCCACAAACTTTCGCCGACAGTCATCTGCGGACTCCACAGCATCATTCCTCTGATGTACCAGGTGCTCAATGTTGAGGTCCGCAAGGGCTTCAAAATATGAAGAGGCTGTATTATATGTAGTATCTATATCCGGAAGTTTTGATCGCGGCAAACCTCCCAGTCGTACAAGTTCATTCATATTCATTGACAAAGGCCGGCGTGTTACTTCCCAAGTGAAGTCATCGATTTGGCTGAGAGATCCTATTCGAGGCAACGAGGGAGTCAAAAGCTGAAGCAGAATACCCGCGAGCTGGCTATATAGCATCTCAAGCTTGTCGTCGTCGATGTTTGGGTCCAGAATTCCACGCTCCTCTTTTGGGCATCCTGGAGTGTTGAGAGCGTCGTACATTTTCGATTCGTGTTCGATATAATCCATCATAATAAATGGACTCAGTTCGAGGGGGCTCTCCTCCTTTGTACCTGAGTGGAGAATAAATGGAATGGGTATTGACGTCTGATCAGCGAGAAATCGCATCACAGCAATCTCATTCATGACTTTCTCCTCAGGGAAAAGAACGGCACCGGGCTGCGAGAAACGTATAATGGTGGCACCTTTCCGGTATTTCATCCGTAAAGAGATGTTATAAGAGCCTTTTTTAAGTATGGCAAACTCGGTCGCATTGCCCCTGTTGTGATTCAGGATGAAGTCCGCGATCGGTCTCAAGATGTCCAGCTCAAGAAATTGAGCTAGCCAGTTGTCAGATGTTTCCTCGGCTTGCTCCCAGGCCAAATCGTCAGGGCACATTTGTGCTTGCATATTTGCATCATAAGCGGGACTGAATAATGTGCAAGAAATTTGAAAGATTTCAGTTGAAATAAAGGAATGTCTAAGTTGCTTTTTATGGCAAGGCCTACTTCATGTATTTATATTTAAGAGCCTAAGAGGGAACACTGGAATAAACAGGGGATGCGGGTCCTTATGGGGGCGCTATCACATGACTCTTTCCTCGCCCAATGAGGTTCGCAAGGCCCTCAGCAGTTGGCAGATACTAGGTTATGTCAAAGGTACTGATTGACATGTCAGCCACTCTTCCCAGTTTACGCTCAACCAACCACGTCAGGCGTCGAGTCTTTTAGCGCTCATGTAGATAACCATCATCCACTCGCAACCCTTTTATCCCTTGTGATGGCCCGAGATTCCAGGGGCGAAGAACATAAGCTCGGTTACATGGAACCACTCTCACTGAACCATTCTCAACAACTTACGTTTCATATGGGTGATAAGGCACAGGCACCCTGTTAGAGATTCTTCTAACTCTCGATCTTCAGGGACTATTATCCAGCCATTACGCGCTTGCACCCTTCATGTCTGTGCCAAATCCCCCAACAAGCCTAGACTGGCCTTCCCAAAACAAGCGTGCGAGCCGCCCAGGCCAGGTTTAGCTCTGGCTGTGAGGGTCGAGTTTGTGGCAGTGTCATTGGAGGTCTCAACATTGCCATATCTTTGTGGCCTGAATGGCTCCAGGCTCTCGCTTTTCTGTGTTTATGATTGCCGCGCGCTCTACGTATCGCTTGCCTCACTGGCCGCCTTTTCATTCCAGCCTCGACGATGACTGCAGCGTTTCCTGACACACGAGGGAGGCAAGTTATAAATACTACGTTGATCATGCGCAACTATGTCTTCTCTCAAAGCGGGATACAAACAGCCTACCATTATCTAGATCGGAATTTTTGCTTAGCAGGCATCGCATCAATCATTGACAAGTCTCGTTGCACCTTGTTTGCTCTTGAAGGTATGTTTATATCCTCGCCCCTAAATGTTCCACCCTCACACTCTCCAGATCCGGGTGACAATCACAGCCATACCAGCATGTCGGATTCCAAGCAGGCTGCCCGTGACCAGACAGCTTATCAGTTGAACATTCCAGCCTCCACTGCAGATGCCCTCAAGGAACAAGGGGAGGACTCTGCAAAAAGACGGGGAAAGACTTTTGGACCGACAGAGCTCAGATTCCCCAATCCGAAAGAGGAGAACAGCATGCACAATGCCGGCGAAGAATCACTCAACAGGAGGAAGCATGTCACTGAGAACATAGCCAATTCATACAGGAACAGCTCTTCTTGAAGCGCTGCTCCTGTATGAACGGTGAAACTGGACAATTAGAGGGCTATGATTTGCATCCTCAATTTCTTTTCTTCTTTGTTGGCCCTTTGAAGATGGCACTTTAGCCAATATGCGGGCGAGTGCGGATCAGACGTGTTTCATAGTCGCTTCTATCCTGTTGAACATCCCCTATTGTGATGCCGTCAAGCTTGCTGGTTTTCATTTTATTTCCATGGCTTTTTTTTGGTCTTGCTTTCCTTGGTTTCTGTCTTTCTGGTGTTTCTTTGGAGCTTCATAGCAATCAAACACCCTGAGACGACGAGTAATGTCACATTCTTGCTTTAGCGGCCCGTCTGCAAGTAGCCAGTGTTAGAAAGATGCAAGGAGGTTTGCTTGCGATGTGATCTCATTTTCCTCGCACGGGTTCATACCTATTCTTTAGGTGTGACATTCTCGAGCATTGTACCTTCCTCAACCAGCTCAAGGTCCCGGTCCGTTACTAGCTTCGGGGTTGGAGGCAAGAAAAGCCCAAAATCGCCCCACATTTTCGGACCATGAACATCTGAAACGGCTTCGCTGAATATAATGTTGGGAGATTGACTCCAGTATATTGCGGTCACAAAATAGGCGTGGCAAGCTTATTGCCACGATCATTTCGAGGCTGTGCCGCTCCGAAAAGTGACGCTCGTCTGATATCTGACAATCAAGTATAAGGTCTGATAAGGAAGTTCTGCAGAGAAATCTGGAAGACCTAATTATCTAAAGCGTGCATAACTCAGGGGTCTGCTGTTTTTAAGAACTTAAGGATGATGGGTTAGAAGAGCTAGACAACTTGTCTCTGAATAGGTGAGAGGTCTGTCCCCATTGGCTCTACTTATTATCCACCAGATCAAGAACTGACTTCTATTGTGCACACTCCTGCCACTGTGAGTGGAAATCTAGTAACCTACAAACACATAGAAATGGCGGCAGAATCGGATAAAAATCTTCTGGAGAAGTTCAGCTAAGAGAGCTATATCAAGGGAATGTATGTCTAGCCCTGATGACTTTGTCTTTTGAATCTTTATTCAGTATAGTTTAGTACATGACAGTCTCAGTGGTCTTTAATTTACAGTGGAATGACAATGTCCGGTTCATGGAATGGCGAAAAGGAAGCAGAGGATTTATAGCGCCGAGTTTGGACAGTAGTTTGGAGGCTTATCTTCTATTAGGCTACTACTACAGTACTACTACCATTATATGGGATGCAAATACCTTAAGTAGTGTTACTCTGCATTAAAAGGAACTATTTAGGTTATAGAAGTTCACGGTTACCCTGCCTTTTATGTGCTATTCTTGAGAACATCTAGTAATCCACTGGTTCTCCTTCCTTGTAATATATTACCAAAGTGTTTTCTGAGAAATATGGGTCAATATAACTTGAACTCTTGATGACTGTTGCTTGCAATAACAACTTAATATTATAGGTAATAATGAGTATAAGCATGGTGCGCTCTTTGGTAGCTTATGGTTCGCATTCACTGATTTAAGAGAACATCTACACATAAAATATAAAGGAAGGAACGTAAATTCTGCCCATAGAATGAATAACTTAAACTCAGCATACTGCACTCTTGGATTGCTCCTAAAACATCTTATCTAGATCAAAAACAGAGCGCCTAAACCTGATAACTATTTACTATTTAAAGCATGAGATTTAACAGTGAACAAAAGGGCTGCTAATGATGGCTGCTGTTCAAGTGTTCTCACTTACCAATACTACTGAGATAGCGATCGCCACTTGCACCGAATTTCATAATGATAAGTCGGCTATCCATGGTTGACCCACACTGTTGGTCATCGGCACGTTGGAACGCCAGGACTCCATTATTGGAGAATGTTTGGCAGAAAATGATCCACGCTGAGATGATGACGACTGCTGATGGTGGATCTGGCACATAACTCTAATTGGATCAACCAGGGACCCTTTGTGATATTGCCAGGTACGCTCCCCAGCATTAAGCAACGATCAATGTCAGGGATCGGCAACTGGGTACGGGAGTGGCTGCCTCTAGGACACGCAAGCATGCGGGTGGTAATTTGGTACTGTTGCTCAGTGCCGTGGATAGTGGAGTGTGGACATGAAGAAAGATCATCAATCGAGGCAAGTTTTGATCCCAATTGGATCACCCCTGGTAAGGTCTGGACTTTCGCCTTTGTTGCAGATCGTTATTCCAATCAACCTACTTTCTATATGCTGCTGGCCTCCGCCAATAATCACAAAGAAAGCAGGCTCAAAAACGGTACAATCTGATACTTGCGAATTGGATCGGCCAGCCTTTCCACCGTCCTCCACCTCCCCTTCAAGCTCAATCTCTGATAGGCCTAAATGACAATCATCTTGTGACACACGTGGGTCATTATCAAGGCTTGAGGTCTTTGGATTTTATGGTTCGAGTGCAAGTGGATAGAATGACGGCAGCTCCATCAAGGCTCTATCCCAGGCCGATATAAATGCCCCTACAGTACCATTCTCCCAGTGCAAACCTGCCCAATATCATTCTTGCCGACACATTCTTTCTCTTTAGTACCAGCCATATCTACCCGGTCGTCAACATGAAGTTTAGCATTATTGCTCTCGCCTTCATCGGCTCTGCCCTGGCCGCCCCTGCTGCCTCTACCCCCACTCCTTCTTCCACCCCGGCGGCTTCTTCCTCTTTTGCGGCTTCATCCACCCACATGGCCTCCTCCACTGTCAGTCCTTCGGCCACTCCTACCTCCCTGCCCGACTGCGACATCGAGCACGAGGGCGACAACGGCAAGCATCTCGGTTGGTGCAAGAAGGCCAAGCATCACGGCACCTACAAGAACGGAAAAAGCAACTAGACCTATCAGCGGTCTAACCGCAGTCAGCAGAAATGAATGCCCCAATCCTGTGAAACGTGTCTCCCAGCGCTTCGGGATATCGTTGAGGGCAGAGACCGACTGGAAGCCACTTCGAAATGGAAAGTTGTGTGTCATTTGTGACTCGGAGGATTTCCTCTTTCCTGTTGATATCATTCCCTGTACTTCAGTCTTCTTGCGGTATCCTTACGGGTATCCCGGTGTTTTCGGGGCCTCATAAGGCCTCGCAATCCGGTTCTAGATGTTACTATGAGCGACAATAACTGAGATTGGTTCTACATAAGGATATTGGCCGGTAGTCACGAGGAGCAATGACTGCTGTAGTTCATGTGGCTAGATTGGTTTTTCTCTTAGAGTGCTGCTTAGGTCCGCCTGGAAGTGAAGAGATAACGGCTTGTCGAGATTTATATTGGAACCATGCCTTCTATACCGTATAGCTGGCGGAGGGACTGTTTTGCTATACCTCACCCTCAAGTTTAAGATCAAGGCAATCACTCAGGCGAAGACGGTCTATGCCGCCGCCCTATCTTAAAATCTGGATCTTTATTGCTTATCCTCTCGGTATTCGTGGTCAGTATTTTATACACTTGTGTTGCTTGTACATCCTTCCACCGGATATCTACAGATATAATTCAGGAATCATACGATTACTCCGGGAGGTGGAATTGCTCATTTGAACTAGCGAAGGGGAAGCGAACAGCGATGGTACTTCCCCACTGTCACGGAAAAGCATCGGCGTTGATGTATGGATTTTGGCGTAAACACTTCGATGCTCAACCTCCTATTCTCATTCTATGCCTCGACCAGAAGACGCACATCGGCTACCAAACGATCAAAGACTCAGGGAACCAACTAGCGAAGTCGAAGACCACTTACAAACATCCTTGATATCAGCGTTGAATTTGTGTTCGCGCAGATTCAAACTGGCAGACAGTAAAGCACTAGATAATCTCCCCGGACAAAGCAACTAGTACACCAAAATCTCCTCATCTTTGCCACCCGCATCCCTCCATTTATCGAGCACCTTCTTCATATCCACCCCAACCTTCTGAGCATAATCAGGCCCAGGGCCCCCGACAGGCACATCCGCCGGGTTCCCCCTCACCCAAGCCACGGGTTCTTTAGCAATGCCCGCGAACTTCTTCTTAAGCTCTTCGACCTGCTCCGGTTCAAAGCCACGGCCGAAGATCACTGCGCGAGGAGGCCGACTGTAATCGTGGGTTCCAACATCGTTGGGGTTCTGAGACCGGGGATCACGGCCTGCAAGCAGATGCGGGAGCTCAGCCTCTGCGGCCTCATATGACAGCATGAAGTGAATGACTGAAGAGCATTAACACCAGGCCTCTCTCTACTTGGGAAACCAGATCAAGAACCTTCATATTCAGGCAGCAGGAACTGGGAGATTGGTTTTCCGACCGCGGTTTTCCTGCCGCAGGCGACTACTGGCATCGACTGAGCGGATGAAGACATGTTGCGAGAGAGCCGTATGCTGCGGATGAAAGTGTTTGGGAGCATTGGTGATGAGATCCAACAAGTAAGCCCGTGTGGATGACTTGAATTATATATATTCCTTGTTGCGGCGCGCTCGGACGGAGCGCGAGAGACCGATCTCCGACTCTGCCAACGCATGAACGTTTTTGAGGTTCTAAACTCAATACGAGATGGGTTTGTCATCACAGTAGCTAAAGGAATTCTGACATGATAAGACCAATAAGATTACATTTTAGCAAGCCCTTGATCTATTTTATTGGCGCAAGAGGTAAGTCATGGGAGGCGTCCCTCGACTGCTGGCCAATATGGTGGACCATGTTGAGAGGTCAGTTGCACATCAATGATTTAAAACATCGGCTTACATTGACATATGTATCAGACTGAATTGGAAGCTGTTTGACTTTACTGTCGTCATAGTATAAGTCAGAATAAGCCAAATTCATACCTTTCAGTAGGACCGGCCATTCCGTATGACTGCACACCAGAACAATATTTTTGCTCGAATCCTATCATGCAAGTTTCTGGAGCAGAACCTTTTTCAAATACTTTGAAAATGAAACATAGCAAAAGATTCTCCGAGGCCGCGCCGTCCACCCTCTGGTCTCCTTCGATGGCGCTTTGGCAGCGTCATATCAGCTTCATGTATATTAAAGCCTCAATTTATTGCCCCCTCAGATATCGGAACCCTTGCTTCGGGCGACGATTGTGTCTCCGAAACTAGGGGATTGCTTGGAAAATCCGACTATAACTCTGGCCCTGGCACCGTGTTACAACATGAAACAACAGGACACGGCATTTTCCTTATGCAGTTTAGAACTGCGTTCACGCCTTTGGCTTCGATAGTGGGCGTCTTGGAGATCATCCAGGGTCTAGAATCTGATCAACAGGCGATCAACAGGCGAAAACCCTCGAGCCTCGGAGAACGTAGCCGAACCATTAATCCTTGGTGGAGACTTCCGCAGGATATAAAAACTGCTTCATCGCTGTATGATTTGCAGAGGTGTACTTTGTTCGCTTTAAAATGCCATGTAGAGCGACCGGCAACTAAGAGCATAGCTGGATACATGCGAATATATCGCAAGAGAGGTACACGCGTCCAGAAGAACCCATTACTGTTATTTGGTTGGGACATCTGCCTCGGCATTCGTAGCATTGTCTGGATAGACACAGGATCTTCGCTGAAATGCTCGTATTAAGCTAGTCTTGAAGGTATTATAAAATAATTCTACATTGCCTATCAAAACAGGACAAAGACCACAAAGGTACATAGGGAGCCATATCGTGTACGATTCAAAGAGTGGCAGGAATCGTACACCACAGAAAGATTGTCATTTGGACCTCTCATCCTCCTTACAGGGCAAGGGCGACAGCAAGCACACCAGCAGCACCGGCAAAGCTGATGGCCACAGCGCCGGTGGCAGCAGCGTTGTGAGACGAGGTCAAGGCCGAGGTCGAGGAAGCACCGGCAGAGCTCGAGGTAGTGGTCTTGGTGGAGGAAGAAGTGACGGCGGCAGTGGTAGTATAACCGGTAGCCGTAGCAGCAGAGCTACCAGTGGGGGTGGGGGTAGCACTAAGACCGGCGATCTCCTTCATGGCAGCGGAAGAAGCCCAGGCCTTGACGTCGTCGGGCAGGCTGGTGTACCAGGCAGGTATGTGTCCTTGCTCGATCTCGTTGACGATGCTGGCAGCCGAGGTAGGATTGGCAAAAGCCGCAATGACAGAGGGTGGAATAGCGGTCATCAGCTCGGCGAGGACGGAGCTGGGAATGGAGCCGAGCAGATCGGTCAGATCACCGCCGTCCTGAGGGGCGGGATTGGCCACTGCCAGAGCGGCGAAGAGGAGGGTAGCGAGCGCCTTGAATTGCATGGTGGCAGTATAGATAGATAGATAGATAGATAGCGAGCGAACGGATGGATGGATGGAATGAACGACGGTAGAGACACAGGAACTTGTCGAACACAACAGCACAGCGGAGAGATGCTCTGCTTTATTTATTTATGGGGAAGGAGCTGGACCCTATGATCCATCATCTCTGGGTTGCCCCTTTTCCGAAGTTTATCCACCCCGTTTCAGCCTCATTCTCCAATAGAGTGTGCCTTTTCCAGAGCTGTGCAGTCTAGATCCCGCGCCGCCAGAGCTAAACCGCGGTTTTCCCACGCTATCGTTACCACTAAAATCCAACTGCTTCTGTGGTCCAATGAAAGGCGGGAGATTGCACGTTTCATTGACCTATAGGATGAGGGAATCGGCAGGATTGGTCATGCCGGAGAAATATTGGGAATCTCAAGGTTTTTTCAGGAACAGAAGGCATCCTCTTATGCCTAAAAAGCTAATAGTGGCCCGACATCATCGTTATCCTTGGAGAGACAACCATCCACAACAATCGGTGGAATGCTTCTACGACGCATCTGTCTCTCAGTTCTACCAGAGGTGCGTGTGGTAGTTTTGGTAGTAGTGTGGCGGAAGGTAATCATTGTAAAAATTTATTTTGGCCGCTTTGTACATTCAGTCCGCCGTAGATTTGTTTATATTCTTCTTAGCGGCGCCATAGCTCTGTACCTGTAGGTCCGCATCCAATAAGAACCACTGTTTGGCTTCTGTATCTCGTATACTACCTTACTATTACACTCCGTTACTTTATCTTTTACCCTATCCTAGTTTTAGACTGGAGTAGTGCATTGCGATGAGCCACTGGTCTCCTACATCAATAGGATGTTCCAGACTGCGGAATTGCTGGGAGAAACGAAGCATGAATAAAGCATACTGTTCTGATTGATAAAGGTATATACCTAGAAGATGACGAATAGAAGGAAACACGATGGCTAATTTGCAGATTGTGTCTAAGAAAGCACATCCCCAAGGTATCGATCTGGAAATCGGGCAAACCTCTCAATGGTGGTGCACAATGTCGCCAGTAAGCCAGCAGCTTGCGGCTGGGGCATGACCGCAGTGGAGACGTAGACCTGCATAAGCAGTCGTTCCTTCAATGGATAGGTAAACATGAAAAGCTCTGACAGCGCTGTGAAATTGTGCGTGAGCGAGAAGGTCGACTCCATGCCACGCAAAGGTAGCTTATAGTCACTATCAAAGTTTTGATGCTGAACAATCGATTGCATTTCCGTCGTCGCAGGCCAGGAGGTGGCATTGCGGACGATATCGCCAAACTCGACAAAATCGTGGCGCATACTGCGGGTGTGCTGCTCCTGGATGCGCTGGAGCAAGTCGCGGACGGTCAAGGAGGATGGCTCAATTGTCACCCGCACTGGAATAAAATTGATGCAGGGCCCCAGAACCTTGTCGGCCTGGGCCAGGGGCAGACTGCGCCGTTCACTGTTTGGGTGAAAGTGACATCGAGGTGACCGGTCTTCTGCCAGAGGACGTGAGCCCACGCCGCTTTGATCAATGTCGCCATTGTGATTCCTGCAGGCGGCTCCGGGGGCGGCGAGACATCCTGGTTCTCCCAAAGGGTCGTCACCGCGCTGGTGGGGATATCGCTTATCATGACTGGACAGCAGGACAAACTGCATTGGTAGGCTAGGTAACACCTTGTTTCCGGTGGCATCCGCCTGCCACAACGACTGCTGGAACTCAGCGACGTTGGGAAGGTCAGCGACATGGTGGAAAGGGAACTCCATAACACGAAGGACAACCTGAGTGAGCTGACCGTCGTGCATCGTGAAGAGCGTCCGCAGGATCGTGTGCTTCCTGAGGGCAGCCCGGCAGGCCTCCCGGGGACGATCAACATCGACCGTCCCCGTGAGGGAGAACGAGTAGTGGTGTGTCGTTTGACGGACCAAGAAGAACGACTGCACCACCGTGCATGGGAAAAGGTCCATCAGCTCTGCCTGGGATGATACCAGACCCAGTGCTCGAACACACTCAAAGTACCGGGCAGGATCTTGAATTGGGGACAAGGCGAAGGGGGGAACAAGGTGGTCAGGGCCGCCAGCCACAGTATCTGGATGCTGGATTCCCACCGCAGCGAGATCCCTGAGCTTCGGTTTATCCAAAATGTCAGCCACCGTAATACGTAGTCCATGCTCTCTTGCCAAAGGTGCCGCTTCATGGCCATGATTGAGTCACCGCCGAACCGGAAGAAAGAGTCTTCAGCTCCAATGCTCGACGCTGGGAGCTGGAGTATCTCAGACCATACATCTCGCAGAATGCGTTCCGGTTCGGTCGTCACTCGCTTTTCACTCCCATCCGAACTGCGCCATAGGCCTGAAGGTCTTGCTGCGACAGAGTAGCCGCCATCTTCCGTAGTTGTCGACGATCTGGTTTGCCGCTAGCACCGTATGGCATCTGTGAGAGCGGTAGAAGATGGTAGGAATTATGTAGCTCGGCCTTCTGTTCTCAAGACGGGTCTCTGCTTGCAGGGCATCAGCGCCGAAGCTGTCGCTACAAGGCTGCAAGAGGCCGGCAGCATGGGGTCCCGGCTCTCAGGACAAACGCGACGAGAGCACTCTGCCCATGATCAAACTCTACTGTAGAACATCTGACCATGTCTTTGGCCGCGGTGAAGCAGCCCTGTTACTCTGTTGAGAATTTTGCTTGGCAGATATCACACGTCTCTGACACTGTAGAAGTCCAGGTCGTAGTCACTGACTATGATGTTGCGGTACCCTAGTCACCAGATGGTTGCCAATCCTACCACGCCTAGTCTTGCAGTGTATGTGGTGGTTAGTGTCTTAGTCTCAATCACCACCTTTGTGATTGTTATAACAGTGCCACTCCGCTGCTGCTGGCGCTGGATGTTAAACTGGGGCCACTAGTGGATGCTATGGATGGTGCTGTTAATGTAGAAATCCAGCTTCCTGGAATAGGCCCAGGTCCAGATGTGATTATTATGGTGATTATTATACGCACTGGGATTGTGTTACTACCAGGAATAATAACCATTAGGGTCCCACTAATTGTTATGGTTGTCTTAGAAGAGATAGTTGGGATAGTGATGGTCTTGCCACTAATAACTACTGAGCCGGAGCCTTTGCGTTCAGTTAATAGTTAAAGCAGAGTTCGCCTGGCCTTGCAGTGCCATAAAACTGATGTTTGTTTATTGGTATGTTTTATTTCATTGCATTATATTGCATATCTCACATGACTGACGAGAAGATTTTGAAACTTGGTAAGGAAACTGTAAGGGCTATTTATAATATTATTTATAGATCAAATAGAAGGACAAAGATTGAGTTCTTCTGTAAAGTAATAATCTGTCTGGCTTATATATTAACTGAGAAGCCAGATGCTACTTTATCTAATGTAGAAAATTCTCAGGGGAATTGATAGGAACACCTCAATTTACTCAGAGAGAAGGGGACAAGCTCCCTTAAAACAGGTTACTAGTCAATAATAATTCGTCAACAGTGCTCTAATATCCTCCATTTTCTGTCTCACCCAGGTAGCTCTTCCATTCCTCCCTTGCTTCATGCGATACTCTGGGTAATTCTGTTTGAATAGGATATCCAGCAATGCAGACGCGGTTGCTGCGTCGAGAATGCCACAATTGGATGAAGCATTGCGATCGCTATCTAGCGCATCAGAATAACATATTTCAGCAATCCCCAGCTTCTGCTCGATTCTATCTAGCATTCTTGAGCTGAGCTGAATCAGCATCTCAATTTGCAGGTCTCGATGTTCGTCCAAATCGAAGCCACCAAACTGTAGACCTGGAAGCACAGATGGAATTGACGATGGCGAGGTAATGTCCGTCCTGATGGACAAAGCGGAGTAGATCTGGGTGAATATAGTATCGTACGCCTGAAGCAGCCAGGTGTAGCAGGTGAGGATGGTAAGTGTTGTGGGCATATCTATCATGGTGGATAATGGTGCAGACGGGTTGGCAGTAGGACGACTAGAAGTGGCCTTTTCCACTTCAGTCAACTCCTCGGGGTTCAGTATCATACGAGTCGGATTGTAGGTAGGTTCTTCCGCAATAGCAGCAAACTCGGCGTCATCCCAGTAGTCAGAGTAGGAACACTCCGAGTCGGCGGATGAGGTGGGACTCAGACGGGGTTTCAGACACTGGAGGATATCCAGGAATGTCTGAGAGCTCTCAAGCGCCCTGCCAATAATATTTTGAGGGATGCGTGCTCCCTGATCGTTGTTATTTGTGTTGCGACACGAAGAAAAGGACAGAAGTTCTGACAGCATGACGGAAGTGGTCTTGTCGAAATCATGGAAAAGTCGAGAGCTGAGCTCTGAAAGGCGCTGGAGACACTCTCTGGTTGGGTCTACCGGCTGACTTTCCATGTTTGCGAAGAAGGCTTGCGTGTCTTCTGCTCGCAGACGATAGGATTCTGGGGCAACAGCGTTCCCCTGCCCAGGTGGAAAAAATTCATCTGTCGCCAAGCGATCACTGCAGGAAAGCGGGTTCCCGTCCGGATGAATTTGCACCCCAAAATCAAGATGATGATTGGCGGTGAAAGAGCTGTGGTGGATGGGCTTGGGGGTTTTCGTAGTACTGAAAACTGGAGTGTCCGGGTTCCCCGGTGAGGGTGACTCTGCAGCTGGATTTTCAATTTCTCGAGACCTCTTCTTTGCCGGCCGTTCTCCCGAGTGCCGATGCATGCTTGCCCTCGAGATATGATCATCCAGAGCCATGGGAAACGGTCCATGGGTGGTTCCAGCCTCACTGGCCCTCCCCTCATGCCTGGTGGCTGGCAAGCTCGACTCTACCGGTCCGGGTACATCCAGGGTCGTCCGCTTTGGGAACAGAGGCTGCAATTGAGTCTTGTCGGCTAGAGCATTGGAGTGGATGGCGGATAGTCTCTCCGCTCTCGATAGCTTCCTTGGCGGAGGAAGGGTACTGGTACAGTCGGTGCCCGCCCTCAGACAGCGCTCGCAGGGTTCCAATGGTTCCGTATGAGTGGGATGTGTGTATTGTCCATGATTCAATGATCTCACGCAGCGAAGCTTCTGACGCCGACACCTATCGCAGGCACTCCGACGATATAGATCCATATTCATTACTATACGAGCCCATAACTCTGGGGCTATGGAGACAAGGTACTTTGAGACAGATTGGGACGGATCAATGCCGTTATCAAGGTACTCGATTTTGTGGTGGATGCTCGGGAGTGGTATATAGCTCGATTTATGACAATGCTGTCCTAGCCACCCGGCGGGAATCTGAAGGAGATAGCTCGCCGAGAATTACAGGCTATCCCCTCTCAGATGAAGAGACTGTAGACCGACACAGTTGACTGCAGGAGTCTGTTGGCAGTAAAAAGCAAAAAAAACACGGCCTCCCTCACAACCCAAGCTGCATATCTGACTTCCTTATCTTACCGGAATCTGTTGACTCATGCACATTATTACACGGAACAACTCATTTTGTATTAATGAGCTTGTTACTTAGGCCCAGCAACATATTATTCTTGGATGCTCATAATTCAGTAACTGACTTTTGATGGCGCCCCTGCTAAGCTTCACCCCACATGAATCATGGCCCTCAAGATGTTAATCCATCCTGACTATGCAAAGACCTAGTTTGGAGTTTTAAGTTAGTTACTCTAGTCTTAGAAGTAAAGTAGAATTTAAGATAGCTTATATTTACTATATTATGTATCTAGTCATGGATAAAAATACTTCTTATTAGTACGGTAGCTTCTAGTTAATATAACCCTGAAGATATTATAGAAATATAAGGCAGACTACTAAAGTACCCTGCAGCATGGCAGAGAAGTAATGCATGATGCAGCAGGGCAGTCTTTCTAGAGTCATGGTATCTTAAGAAATAACTATGGATGCATATCCTTATCATACCCCTCCCCTAAACCTTACTCTACAGCTAATCGCACTGTAATGCAATCCACCCACTGTTGTATATGGGGTAATTAAGCCAATTCATCATTTTTGTCAAGGTCAATCAGTGTTATCATCTATTCAAGCCTGTAGGCGTCCTTGAGTTCTTTAAATAGAATATGGACTTTTAGTCTGTTCAGGGTTAGAGAAGCTATGAGGTGTAGGCCCTTTGTGAAAGTTAGCTATAGCCTGTTCTCGCGGGGTCCATGGGTCTGTATCCGAATTTAAGATACTTACTTGGGCTTTCTTCACCTGTTCGGGGGTTTCCGTGGTGTAAAACGAAGCCATTCTTGATTTGATAAGGTGGCTTAGTTAGCCTAACCATTGACCAAAAAGGTTAGGTAAGAATATGGAGTGGAGTATTGTTTGCTGTGGAGGAGGGGCACTGAATAGATAAAAGGAAAAAACAATGTAATATTACTTAGCTGAAACCAGAGGATCAACAGGGCGTTATGCTTTATTTGATTGATTGTGATTGCATGAGAATGAAGTGGATATGCAGTCCACTAGGTACCCTAAAACCCCTAATGGTACTACTCACTAGAATTAAATTAAACTACTTGTCACCGCACGGACCGCACGGTACATGTTTACTTTGAAATTGCTATTAGTAAGGATTGATGTCACATCAGACGTGCCTAGAAAGTGTTAGTTATTGTGATATATGATTGCTGACTGCTTCCTTACACATAATGTTTGCTTGTAGAAAATATAATAATCTACTAACCATATTAACACATGTGGCTGTATATATAATATTTAGCTAAACTTACCTAGATGCATCCTTATAAGCTTTAGGTCTCTATAGAGACTTCTGCATAAGCTAAGTCCTTAGTTAAGCTAGTACTCTTTCTAAACTTATCTAGATGCATCCTCATAAGCTTTAGGTCTCCATAGAGACTTCTGTGTAAGCTAAGTCCTTAGTTAAGCCAGTGCTCTTTATAGGACCATTATTAGAGTATATACTAAAATAGTTAAAGTTAAAAACTAATTAGTAAATATCCTTACAGTTGCCTTTCTTCAAAATAGGCATACCATATAATACACTAATAAAGGACTTCTAAGTTCTAGCTGAGCTATATAGCTAGTTCCCACCTCTAGTAGAATATGTTTGTATGTTTTTCCTGAGACCTGAATATAATTTATTCATAATACCTAACTTATCTTTAGAAACCTTAAATGCACCCTCTGCTCTAGTATTTAATGTAAACAGCCATGTAGTTTCACCCAACAGTTTATTCACAGTGCCAAAGTTTCTCCCACAGTACCTAGTCAACTTCATGATTAAACTCTGCCAACCCAAATCTCTGCTTTTTCTGCGCATTACTTGTGTTCTAGATATCATTGCCCTTATTCTGCTAATAGTTAGACTCATTCTTGCTTTTCAAACAAGACACTCAGAGTCAGATTTAGATCTTGAATGTGCCTGACAAGTATCAGCATATTGTAAGTTCTTTCCCCTAAGGTCTTGTGAGCCAAGAAAAATGGATAAGACCACAGAGCTAATGAACACACCCCCTCTTCTTGAAGAACCTGACTTGGTCAAATATTCTGAATATGATCTTCCACTGTACTTCAATGAGAAAACAGACTGTCGTGGCCCACCAACCCCAGAAAGGGAGGTCCGCGTAAGCAGCTTGACGCTTCTTGTCTTTCCCTGTTGATTGACCAAATCTGCCGCAGGCTATCTATTGTCATAACCCTGCCGAAAATGCCGCGTTGAACTTCACGCGTGCATCAGGTACTATCATTATCAAGTCTCCGATGATACGGGCGAAGGGGCTGCAAAGCCACTATTGAAAAAAATTGAGCTATAAATCCATCTTTCAGCAAAGTCCCCTCCCTTGCATGGTTATCTTGACAAGAAATCACCGTCTCTCCATTCCCCGATACTCCCCTTCCTCCCGCCACTCCCGTGTAATCTTCGTCCATGCAATGATGCCTTTGGGAAAATACGCCCAACGCGCAGGAATCTCTTCGGGCTTGCCCTCACGATTGTAGTACCCCGGAGGACAGGACTGCGCGAACTGCAGTCGCATCTCGCTACCTTCCTCATTTTGCCTTCCCCAATCCTCTTCGGCTTCTTCAGTGGGCTCAAAGGCCTGATACCGTTCATCCCGCAGACATTGCGCCACGAATTCCGCGATATGATCCCCCACTGCGTAGGTCGTATGGGTCCAGTTGGCTGTGACGCCGGACTGAGCAGGGCCTACGTATAGCAGATTGGGGAATTCCCGGATGTGGACGCCGAATAAGGTCGACGGGCCCTTTTCGTCCCATTTCTCGTCAAAGGTTCTTGCCTTGGTTCCGACCAGCTGGATCCCCGTCCGCCGATAGAAGTTGGCTTCCACGTCAAAGTCGAATCCAGTCGAGTAGATAAGCAAGTCGACCTCATATTCGGTCCCATTGGCAACAACCCCGGTTTCTGTGAGGTAAGAGACCCCCTGCCCGTTGGTGTCGACCAGCTCCACGTTCGGCCGGTTGAAGGCAGCCAGGTAGTCATTGTGGAATGTCGGCCGTTTGCACATAAATGAGTACCAGGGCTTCAGCTTGGCCGCCGTAGAATGATCCTTAACCGTCTCCTCCACCTGTTTCCGTATCTGCTCCATCAGCCGGAAATCAGCGAGCTGCATCAGCTCGGGGATCTGATCGGGCTGGACGGTGACACCCGCGACTGTGCCTTCCTTGAGAATCGCTCGCATCGTGAACTCCTCCAGGCCCTCCAGCGCGTCGCAATCTTTGTCGACGACGGCACCTGTGAGGATGTTGGCAAAGTCCGTCATCCGCTGCGTCTGCCAGCCGGGGCGCAAAGATGCACTCAGTGCCGCAGGGTCGTAAAGCCGGTTGTCTCTGAATCGGATCGAAGATGGGGTTCGTTGGAAAACGTAGAGTTTCTTTGCATCCTGGGCCAGTTTTGGTACCAGCTGAACGGCAGAAGCCCCCGTCCCAATGATTCCCACCGTTTTAGTGGCTAGTCGGTCCATGTTTCCATTCTCATCGCCGCCGGTGATCGTATAGTCCCAGCGACCGCTATGGAAGTGGTCTCGCCGGAAATTCTCAATCCCCAAGATGCCTGGCAATTTGGGCTCATGGAAGGTCCCCGTGGCCATGACCACAAACTGCGTAATAAAATGATCGGCGTGGTTGGTGTTGACATGCCACCGGAGGATCGACTCGTCCCAGACCACGGACGTGATCTCTGTGGACAGGTGGGATCGGCGTGCCAGGTCCCATTTGGTTACAATGCGCTCTACTTGTTCACGGATCTCAGGCCCGTAGCAGAAGCGTCTCGTGGGGATGTATCCGGTTTCTTCCAGAAAGGGCAGGTAGATCAGCGACTCGACATCGCAAGCAGCCCCTATTCATTGGGAAGTTTAGCCATCAGGTTTCGGGTTGTTTCGGAGCAGATCCTCTCATACCGGGATACTGATTCCAGTACCACGTCCCCCCGAATCCAGCTGCCTTGTCCACAATGAGAAAGTCCTGCACTCCTTGCTTTTCCAGTTTGACCGCGGCGACGAGGCCCGCAAATCCGGCACCCACGATGAGCACCTTGGTTTCCGCGTGGGTTGGCTCGCGGGCCGGCGCGGAGGCGACATCCTCCCGAAAACGATGAAATGCACCATCGCGAGCGGTTTGAAATTGCGCGACCCCATCTTGCCGGAGCCTCTTGGCTCGTTCGGCCTCGTATCTTTTTAGAATTGCTTCTTTGTCGAATTGGTACGTTTGAAGCGGGTGGACGGGTTTGGGCTTGGAGATAAATGTAAGAAGAAAAGAGGGGATAGTCGCACGGATAGTAGGCACCAAGGAGCGCAGAAGAGTTGATAAAATCGATCCCATGCTTACAGAAGTGAAATTCACAGATTGAACTTGGGGCAGATGAAAAGCCACTGCTGCTCAATACTGTACAATAGACATATACAAACCCGCAAGTTACCCAGAAATATACTAGTTAATTTAAAGTCTGTCCAATGCAGTCTGAGAAGCCAATCGGAGCCCACAGAAATTGGTAGTCGAATGACTCCATGCGGCCTCACTTTCTGCAGTCGGAGACCCTTCGGATGACCGAATGCGACCCTATTGTACCAACCAACCCTTCCTTCCGAGTGGTGCGGAGGGTCCGACTCCTCGAAGGCCCTGCGCGTCAATCATCATACGAAATTCCTGATAGAGTCAACCGCAAATCCTGTGTGGAGTGAGGGACATATTTCAGGCCAATCCCTCGCAAAAGTAATGTATCATTTGTCGAGTCCCCTCCCAGATCATTGTGATTGAATATACATATATGTGCATGTTCTGCCCCACGTTCTGCGTAATATATGCGTAAAGTGAAGCTCATTAAATTTCTGTTATGTATAAAGCTTCTAGATTCATCGGCCAAATGGCCAATAGATGACCTTTTCTATACGTGGGATGCTTCCCATAAATTATCAAGGCAGATCTATCATACGAAGCGACATTCTTGGGATAGTAGCACTCTTTCTGATATCACCATGAGATATGTAAACACCTTTTCTTAAGTATCCAATTGTCCTTTTAATTCCAGTATTTTGCTAAGATGAATTATAATGATTATTAATCACTCACCTCATAATCATTGCTGGCATCTAGATTCTAGTTGTGATGTATATTCCAGTGAAGGTGCTTTTGACTGCTGGGGAGCATGGAGCATCAAGGAAGGAAGAGGGCAGTAATCTGAATTCAATTTCCAAAGGAGTCTAGATTGTGCATATAATATAACCATGGCTCGTATTCGCATTAGAAGAGATCCTCCTGCTGAACAAGTCGAGGAAGCAAAAGAGGCATGCCGGAGATATTCTGCAAGTACTCCCCAAGTAATGGATGCAGGCCCTGTGCTTCCGCACGTGACACCCACTCTCTGAGCGGCACCACCTCAAACGTTTCGCCAGTCTCTCGCTCCAAGACAGCCTTAAGGTCAGACAGAGGGATCTCACGATCACCCGACTCGTACAGGTACTTGACTGTCCCGGGCCAGGAGTAATCCTCATACACCTCATCCGCGATCCGCATGGCTACTCGATCCGCAGATACAAAGTCCAGCCAGCCAGCCCATCCCTCAGTCTGAGGGATGGCCCGTAGAGTCCGGGAGTAGCGAAGCAGATTGGACATCATGTCGGTCTCAGGGGCCCCGTCACCAGTGATCGACGATGGACGGTGGATCCAGATGGGCAGGCTACACTGATGACTGACCTTTTCCAGATAGCGCTCACTAGCCCATTTGGAGGCTACATAGCCGTCGTCAAGGGATGGGGCGAAGCCACTAACGGAGCTTTGGTCAAAGTCTTCCTGGCCGGTAAGATGAGTCACGCTTGCGGTGGAGATGTAATGGAAGGACAGGCGATAGGGGATTGACAGGCGGACCAATTCCTTGGTCGCTTCGACATTCGCTGGCTTTAGGCTGTGGTATGATTTCAGGAAGGAGACGTCAGCCCCGTTGTGGATCACTGCGTCGGATTCAGCGAAGATGTCGGCAACCGTCCGGTCCGTGAGCCCGAATTGGGGTAAAGTTAGATCACCTCGATGAATGATGACCTTTGGCGATTGGAAGACTTCAGGGAGACTGCTTGGATCGCGACGGACAGCAAGACAATGGATCTTTTGCACACTGCAGTCCTTCAACAGCCGGTTCAAGATCGCACGACCCAGGAATCCCGTTGCTCCCGTTAGCACAACCACCGATGGATGGGCAGAAAACCGCTTGGTAGCCGGAACTTGGAGCAGATTGCGAGAAACTGCCGTTTCGGATTCCCAGTCGACTGCCACTTTCTCCTGTGTCGACCCTGAGTCGGCAACCAGGGATGCCATACCTTCAAGAGTACTAGCATCGAACAATTGAAAAAGCGAAATAGTTGTACTGAAGACCTTGTTAATCTCGGACTGGAGGCGCACAAGGAGCATCGAGTCGCCCCCGACATGGAAGTAATCGGAAGAAGGGCGAAGTTGAAAGTGTGCAAGGATTTCTTTCGGGATGACATTCGCCCACACTACTCTCATCTTTGCTATGGACGGAGACTCGTCGGTGTGTGACTCTGCCTCGCCGGTCTGGAGCACTGGAGGAAGAGGCAGCGACTTGAGGGCGAGACGGTCGATCTTGTTGGAGGAGTTTATGGGCATCCGGTCAAGCGGAATGATGACGGCCGGGCGCATGTACTGCGGCAGTGGAAGTTGCTGACGGATCTGCTCCAGCGGCTCATTGTTCTTGTCGCCCTCGTCAGCACCTAGCAACGTGACGTAGGCAATCAACGCCTCAGAGCCGGTGGCTGCGGACTTCCGCACCAGGACGGCAGCATCGATAATTTTGCCATTTGCACTGTTGACAATCGCCGACTCAACCTCCTGCAACTCGATTCGAATGCCCCTGAGCTTCACCTGCGTATCGCCGGCAATTCGACCCCCAAATATAAGTTTTCCGTCATGGGTGAGTCGGCCAGAATCTCCGGTGCGATGCATCCTGGTCCATCCGTTCTCCAAGAATTCTGCAGACATGAACTGGTTTCTGGCAAATCCACTGGTATCGAGCTCGCTGTGTAAGTAGCCAGCTACCACCCCAGCGCCACCAAGTATGACTTGTCCTGGAATGCCGGCGGGTACGGGCTTCATATATCTGTCCACTATATAGACCGAGTAATTGGGCCATGTCTGAAAACCTGGACTAGTAGTGCTGTCATCACCATCATAGCTGACTCTTCTGCTGTGAGAGCAGAATGTGATCTCTGTGGGGCCATAGCAATCGATCAATTCCAAATCTGATTTCTCAAGCTGTCGGAAGCCTAGAGTCAAGGTATCAGTCACCGCTTCCCCTCCACTGACGGCGACACGCCAGCTAGATTGTCGCAGGCCGTCCGTGTCGCCATAACGAAGCCAGCTGATGTACTCCGACGGAGTAGCTTCCGTAAAGGTGATTCCCTCAGTAGCGATCAGAGAGGATATGGCCTGTGGGTCGCCTCGTAGCTGTTTTGGGACAATTCGCAAAGTACCACCGTTTGACAAAGCCAGGAAGGTCTGAGATAGAGACATGTCGAAACTGTAGGAGCTTTGCTGCAATGCGATTTCACTTCCCTTGCGGAAATCCCATTTGTCTGTGGAGGTCTCGATGTTATTTCGGAATGTCTGATGCTGCATGACGATCCCTTTGGGGACTCCAGTAGAACCACTGGTATACATAATCACCGCCGTGGAGCTGGGACGGGCGGCGTTTGGTACTTTGGGGTCGTCAGAGCGGGAGAAGATTTGGTCGACATTCACACTGGAGGAGCCAGGAGTTTTGAGGGACGCAAAATCCGACGCACTGATATTGTCCACCAGCACCAAATCAGGCTTGCAGTCTTGCGCAACCGCCGCGAGGCGATCCAGTCCCATACGACTGTCCAAGGGAACGTATATCGCATCAAGACGCAAGATCGCAAGGAGAGAACATATCCAGTCGGATCTTGGCTCCATGAAAACGCCGATCCTGCTTCCGTGACCAGCGCCCCGCTCCAAAAGAGCCATGGCGAGGGAATTCACTCTCTGATCCATTTGCGTGTAGGTCGTCTTCCGCCCGTTACCATCAATCAGAGCCACATGCGTGCCATAGCGCTGCACCATAATGTCAATGCGTTCGGGTATTGTTTCTGGCCATTTGTACTTGTATACGGGACCTATGAGGTAGATGCAGTGTCAGATTAGGGGAAGTCCTCGAAAGGCACAAGTGGAAGAGAACTCACCGTGTCCGAGTTTTATGGAACGTTTCACTTCCTCGGCTTCGTATAATGCCGGTACGTCCAACCGTAGTGCCGGATTGCGAGCAAATACAGTGAGAAGATTCCGATAAACGCGGCCCAGAACATCCACGTGTTGTGCATCATACAGAACCGACTGACCGGCAATGATGACATGGCACTCTCCATCAGGATTATCGATAATATCCAAGCTCACGTCGTATGGGGCTTGGCCTTGTTCGAACGCCGTGGCCGTACTCTCGCAACTGCAGAACGTCCGACTCTCAGAGACACCTGCCCGATAGTTCACCAGAACCTGGAACAGGGGGCTGTGGGAAGCAGATCGAGGAACTCCAAGCTCGTTCACGATGACATCGAACGGGACCTTGGAGTGAGCGAAAGCGTTCAGTGACTTTTCCCGGACAATGTGCAAAATATTGGTAAAAGTGTGGTCCATCTGAGGCGTGAAATGGAGTGGCAGGAGGTTCAAATACAGGCCCACGCTCTGCAACATGTCTTTGCGGTACCGGTTTGCAGAGCTGATGCCAATGCTGAGATGCTCCACATCCACAAGGCGGATCAACATGGTGTAAAAGACAGCCAAGTGGAAATGAAAGGCTGTCACTTTCATCCGATCGCACGTAGCTTGAATGCTTTTCAGCAGTGCTGAATCAATACGGTATTCCGTCGTGTGAGTTTCATACGTCGCCAAAGTTACCCGGGCAGACGTCCGAGCCATAGGAAGGGGGGGCAAAGGACTGGGAATCACCTCGAACTCCCTCTTCCAGAAGGCAAGATCATCAGCCCACTCCCCAGCCTGGTATTCTCGTCTCTGTTGCTCTGAGAAATCAGCGTACTGAAGGATCCGGGGACTTAGGAATTTGGATTCGTAAGCCATCTGCAGGTCCCCAAGAAGCACCTCTAGGCTCGCTCCATCCATGTTAATGTGGTGATATGCTATGATGAGCTGGAACGAAACACTTGACTTTTGAAGAAGGAGAATTCGCATGTTCTCCCCCTCTTCACCCTTGAATACATAACCTCTGATTTCTTGATAGATCTCGTCAACTTCGTCGTCACCCGATATGGCTCGCTGCTCCAGAATTAAAGAGGAAGCTGCAAGAACCTCTTGCTTTATGGTGCCTTGTGTATCATCGGTGATGAACCGCGTACGCAAGGCCTCATGACGCTGTCCAATGACTTGGACAGCACGCGCAAAATCATTCACTCTTAAGGGACCGTCAAGGCGAATAGAAACCGTTATGTTGAATGTAGATGGATCTTTGAGATAGTGTCTCAAGAACCAAAATCTGGATTGAGCAAATGAAATGGGAACACTCTTCTTAGCCTCCACGGCTATGGTCTTGGGGATGATGTGACTGGTAGTTGTGGACGATTTTGAGGAGGAGAGCTCTGTCTTCCCTTCAGATTCATCGATCTCGGACCACGAAGAGGACGAGATGCTGGAAATTAGAACCTCTTGGTCAGGGCGATGTTTGCTGTCTGGGCTCAGATCAATTGTTGCAGATGCCTGCAGGGAAGAGTCTGAATTCTCCGATACGTTTTCTACGATAACTGAGCTGACAGTCTTGGTCGCGTCAGGAGAAGGCGTCGCCGTAGGCGGATCAATCTCATGCCGACTCTGTGTGCTGTGCCCTAGTGTAGAGGCATTGGCTTCAGCTACTGACAACTGTTGACTCGGGACTGTCTGCCTGGGCTTCGAAGGCTTTGATATTGCGTTTGGATCCAGCTTTGGCGTTAATTCTTTCGGGAGCAGTTCCTGGGCCTGGACAAGGATTTCGCCCACTGTTGCTCCACTCAAGATCTTGAGAACAGGTATTTCGACGTGTAATTCCTTGATAAACCACGACCGGATGTCTACCGCAACCAGGGAGTCAATCCCCAGCGTGTCGGCCGTCAGACCGGCAATCGGTCGATCATCCTCCACTTGTAAGTTGGTCTTCAGCTTCATCACGAAGGCATCTGCATCATTCCTGTAAGTCCATCTTCGCGCTTTGACACCAAAGGACAAGGCGTACCTGAGATAATGTCATACACGTCCGCCGGACTAACGGCTTCTAACAGGCGCACTTTAACAGGAGCCCCGGATGTGGAGCCCTCGGCGACAAGTTCTGTCCTTCCCGTCTTCTTGATGCAGTGCTGAAACATGGGGTTGTTGAACCAGGTGATCGCTTGCGACTCATCGCTGTCGATGATCTTCAACCCAGTAGATAACTCGTGACTGCGTCCCCGTTGATGTCGTCCAGCATACAGGGCTTCCGCAAAAAGCCGGCGGAAGTCATGCTCTGATAGCCATAGATTGCCAACCTTGCGTAAGAATTCCTGCTGGGCCAGAGTCAGTTCTCGAGTCACATAACCATTGCCGAAAATAGCACCGATATGCACAGCGGACGCGTTCAGCCCTCTCTGGCGACGTTGGTTTGCAAGGCTTGCCATGAACATATTCGCCGCCGCATAGGCTGACTGACCAGGATTGCCGGTCACTGCAGCCATCGACGAGAAGAAGACGAAAAATTCCAGCTCGGTGTCTCGGAAGATTTCTTCCAAGTAGGTGCTCCCCTTGACTTTGGGAAGGAGCACCTTATTCATGCGCTCCATGTCGAGGTCCAAAAACATGGTATCGTGAAGAACCATAGCTCCCTGGGCCACTCCAGCTATTGGCGGCAATTCCTGACAGACTCTCCTGTAAGCAGACTGGACGGAGTCGCGCTTAGATATATCACTAGTTGAGAGATAGTCAGAGCTAAATGGCGTTCAAAATGTGTCCGGAGACACTTACTTCGCCATGACCTCAACGGTCACTCCCATTGCCTTCATCTTGTTTAACCACCGTCCATCAACCTTGGGGCTGCGGCTGGACAGAACGATGTACCGTGCTCCCTGCTGTGCCATCCACTCGCATAAGGAGAGACCGAGACCACCAGTCAACCCGACCAGCCAATAGGTTCTGTCACTGCGAAAGTGTACCTTAGTTTCAATGGGCTCAACTGTCACCCGCGCAACCAATGAATCGTCTGCCCACTTGATAAGACAAGTATCTGAGACGCTTGATCGAGCCACAATCTCCTTCAGTGAGACAGTAGAAAGGTCTGGCGAGCGAAAATGGCGTCGCGTCGTCAGCGCATGGCCAACATCACTGAGCAGTAAGCGGATATCAGACAACACATTTAGTGTGAGATGACCCGTCAGCGTGGTAAGGCTGCCTTCCGACTTGACCTGTGTAAAGTGTGGAAGGCAAGCGATAACCCTGGCAGAAAGCGAGTCATTGGTGCCCATGTTCATGAAGCACGTAACTTTGCTGGATAGTATCTTCCCTATTTCAGTCCTGGACGCCTTCGGATGGAGGTATGTCCAATGCGACATAGTTATGCCAGCGTTCGTTGTCCAAAGAGCAAGGTTCACGCCTTTCTCCCGAGCAACGTTTTTAAGCCCATCTGCAAGGGCAAGACTTGGATCTAGTACAACCACATCGCTGTCATACGGTACATCTCGCATGATAGAGTGGGCCAGCAACTCGTTGTAGAAGACCTGCAGGGTCTTTTCTTCGTCCCCGGAATTGGCTTGTGGCATCAAAAGGGATCTGGGAAGCCGTACCCTCGAGCTTTGATCAGGGGACAGCGCGATGAACTGCTCTCCGGTGTCCCGGTCTTTACCAACGATGGAGAACAGATAACATCCAGGGAGTACCTCCACTGCTTTGTTGATGGAGTAGATAACATCAAACTCAACACATTTCATGGAAGGCTCTAGTATAGCAGTGGTCGAGGACTCAGGAGCGTCGAGGAGACAGACGGTATTGTCGCGATAGACGAGCTTAACGGGAGTATCCCGGATACTCTGCTCGCATTGAATGCTTCGCCTTGAAGAGTTGTATCGGGTGTTTTGCTCCTCGTTGAGCTTGAACCGGGGCACGGAGTACTTTCCATCCTCGAGAGAAAGCTCGGGCTCAACGGAATACAAAATGGGGCCATCATCTGTGCCGGCATCTTCCCATGTCCCAGTCACCTCCAGGCGCAACATCGCCTCAGCAATTGGCTTAGGATCTGGAATAGAGCCAGGTGAGACGTCGAGCAATTGCAAACGAAGATGGAGCATCTCGAGAACCATGGTGCGCGCGAAACCGACGACCATTCGGGCATATGGGTCACCAGAGCGCGACCCCTGAGTAATCCACAAGACATTCTTGGATTGTTTGAAAATCTCCTGAAATCCGCGTAACTTGTCCGCGTCCATGGACTTGAAAACCGGCTCGTCAGTATCCGTAAGACACAGGACGCTTCCGCCAACTGGTAGGTCCTCGGCGCGAATTTCATGCAGTGACTCGACAGCTCGGATCTGTCCACATTGTGGACGAATCAACTGAGTGACTGCCTTTGTGAGTTGAGCACTCTTTGCACCACCGCCACCGATTACCGTCAACCGTGAAATGACTGTTGTCCGGTAATTTGACAGGAGAGGGCTCTGCAGGAACTGCACCCTCTCGTCCACAGCCTGGGAGACAACCACCGAAAGAGGAACGGGCAAAGTATCATGGTGGGGGATTGCAGAGTCTATACCCGAGAAACCATTTTCTCTCAGTACTTTCGACCATTTGTCCAGACCCACGCAAGGAGAAAGGGGGCGCCTGTCGTCGTAGCCCAGCCACCAACCCGGAAGCCCTCCAAAAATGAGTCCGAATCTCATTTGTTCATTCTCGGTGATTTCCAAGAGCAAGAGATACCCACCGGGCTTAAGCAGTTGACGCACATTTCTCACCGTGTGCGCTAAATTTCTGGTTGCGTGCAGCACAAGCGAGGCAATGACCACGTCGAAGGAGTAGGGTGCGAATGCTTGAGATTCAATATCTTTCTCAATGTCAAGTACTTTGAAACTCATCTTGGAGCTGTAAGATCCAAAAACTTGAGACGCTTTCTCAAAGAACCCGCTGGAGATATCGGTAAACGTGTAGGTAGAAAACCCTTCGCCAAGTTCCTTCAGGAAGGACTTGGTGGCACCACCTGTTCCTGCACCAATCTCGAGGACATTCATGTGCGGGTAACGATGACTGATCTGACTCGCCACCGCTGCCAGGTACTTGGTGTAGCAGGGCATCCCGTGGGCAACGACATAAAAGTCGTTCAACATGTTGTCCTGCACCATAGGCTCTAACATTGTCAGTTGTCCTCGGACAACCGCAGGGAGGTTTTCGCCTACGGCCCGCATTAGACGTAGATCGATGTTATCGGGATACCTAATGGGAAGATTTCATTAGTCAAGTTTGGGCGCTGTCAACAGGAAAAAAGAAAAGAAAACGAGCGACTTACCGGTTGAAAATATCCAGTATGACGTCCTTGGAATCTCCCGCCCACTCTGGTCGGGCGAACCGGTTAACTCCTCTGGTGACATTGGAGAGGACATGGTCGACGTATTCAAATAACCGCTTGTGGTGCCACTGGAGTCCATTTCGCTCTCTTGCAGGGACGTTTTCATCCAGATGCTTCAAGTAGAAGTACGCAACGCGTTCGAGTGAGAACAGAAGATCAGAGTTCAAATCCTGGACCTTGGTCGTACGGAGGATTCCATCGCAATCCGGGCGATCAACTCCCCAGACTAGCTCGGTAAAGATGTTGAGATCGCTCGCCTCGGTCGGAGAGGACAGGGGCTGTGTCTGAAGTCCTTCCAATTGTATGGCTCGAGAGCCGTCAAAGCTGTAGATGCTCACGTCTCCTTGCAAGCTACGGGAGTTGTTGCTTGATGCTGTCGAGCCAAAGGGAACCTGGACGGACTGTCCAGCGAATTTCAAACAATTCACAGGGTTCACAGTCAACTTCTCAATGCCTGTGGGAAGGTGTATCGATCGGAGCATGCTGTCCCCGGGATAGCAGTAGGCTAGCATTATTGACTGGATAGCCGCGTCTAGTGTGGCCGGGTGTATGAGGAGGGGTTGTGTATGCTTGACGGAGGGAGAAGAATTCTCGATAAAGCCAGTGGCTATGCCCAGCTTACGCTTCAACCCCGTCAACGCGCGGAAGGGACCGGAGTATCCGAAGCCCAATTGCGCCAGTGCGTTGTAGAAGCGGTCTGAATCCACGTCAAGCAGCATAAAGTCGGCTTCTGCTTGCGACTGCAGAAGGTCAGTGATGCTATCACCAATGTTAACTCGCAGTCGGCAACTGGCATGGCTGAATAATTCAAGGGTCTCGGTATTTGTCGGGCATGAGTAGAATGAAAACCTGGCAAATATCGCCTGCTCATGACGAACGATGTCAGTCAATGTAATCAGAGTTTCTACCTCGGAATTGTTGTCGTTGAAGACAATTGCTTGGCCCACAACGAAATCCTCCAGCTCGATGGACTGGACATTCTGCGCCTGAGCGAGCCGCATACTTGCTTCGACACTGGCAGAGACATAGCCGGCACAGGGGAAGACAATTTGGCCTTGCACCTGATGGCCATCAAGCCATGCCATCTCTTTGGGCCTCAGAATGTTGCGCCAGCGTAACTGGTCGGGGGCTCCATCCACGACCTGTCGGCCCAGAAGCTCATTTGGAATATCCTTACGAGTGCGGAACGCTCTGGAAACGCGAGATTCGTGCCAAAAGGTCCTGCTATGATCCCACTGGTACGTAGGGAGTCCTTTAAGGACTCGCGGTTGGTCAGGCGACTCCGATACAAATTTTGAGAATCTGGCAAAATCCACAGCGGCTTTTCCAAACGTGGTCCAGATGAAACCGAGAGCGGTTGAAAACGCCTCGACATCGTTGTTGCCTCTATGTAGGACCCCGGTATATGGGATGGAGTGGCCCAGAGCATCCTGAATTGTCTGACTGGCAGGGCCATTGAGGGCAGGATGCGGCCCAACTTCAACCGCAAGGTCAAACGTACCTTCTCGTGCAAGCAGGAGTTGCAGGGCTTCGGCGAACATAACCGGTCTCGCCAGATTGGAACCCCAGTAAAGATCGGCAACGTTCTCAGGGACTTCGAGGATATCCTGAACGAAGACACTAGATATCCAGACGCACCGGTCCTTGTGCGGGAGGGTAGACTGAATCTGGCACTGCTGCAGCGACCGCACGTATGGCTCTACGCAGGCCTGCATGTGGTGTGAGTGGTATGCCCGGTCCACTTTCAGCAGTCGTGTGAATTTCTTCTCTTCATCAAAAACGACTTTGATCTCCTCAATCGCGTCGGCATCTCCGGAGAGCGTAACACTGGCGGGGGAGTTACTGGCCGCCACACACACCCGGCCCGAAAATGTGGGCAGATCACACAGTTCCTTTGCATCCTCGAAAGTAGTTCCCACCGCCAGCATGAGGCCTTGCTGAGTGGCAGACTTCAGATGCAGGCCGCGATAGTACGCGACCCAAATGGCGTCCTCTGCGGACAGGCAACCAGCGGCATAAGCAGCGCCAATCTCTCCTGAAGAGTGCCCGACGACAGCCGTAAAGCGAATACCCGCTTCACGCAACAGGTCCACCAACATGATCTGGATCGCTGTGCAGAGGGGCTGTGATATCGACGCCGTGCCCACCAGCGATGAAGATGCCGTGGCGAGGATCTGCTTTCGGAGTGACCAAGTTGGTCGATCATGCGGTGGGAGAGCCTGTAGACTACGTTCTAATGCGTCGATTATCTTGCTCGCAGCAGGGGATTTTTCAATTAGCTCCGCACCCATACGGGCCCATTGCGCGCCCTGGCCGGTGAAGATCCCAAGAATACGCAACTCGTCGGTATGGGGCTTCCGGTGGCTGAGGTCCACGGAAGTGTTTGATTTACCATAACTTTCGACTATTTCATCGAGCTTGACGACCAAGTCGTCTTTAGTCGAGGCAGCGATGGCGAGGCGAGAAGTATGAATAGAGCGCCGACTGCTTAAAGTCCAAGAGAGTTGATTCATCCGAATATCGCTTCTAGTAGACAGAAAGTCGCGGTATACACGCAGACTAGCCAGCAACGCACTTTCTGAGCCTGCAGAGAACGCGAATGGGGTGAACGCGATGTCACTAGCGGGACCAGGTGAGCTGATTGACGGCTCATAGCTTTCAAGAATGGCGTGGGAGTTTGCACCACCAAAGCCAAAGCTATTGACACTCACCCTCCGCACCCCGCCCGGCGGCAGCTGTGGCCAATCCTCAGCGGCTGAGAGGATTTGAAGATTGTCGTAGAAAGGCCTGATGGCCGGATTAAGCTGTTCCAGAAGTCGATTGGGTGGAATAATCCCAGACTGAAGTGCCAGAGAGGCCTTGATCACCGCGGCCAAACCCGCTGTCCCCTCTGTGTGACCTATAACTGTTTTGATGGATCCAACAAACAGAGTGTCATCCCTGGAATCAGGCGAAAAGCTCAGATCGGAACCAAAGAAAGCAGTGCTGATGGCTCTGGCCTCGATCGGGTCACCGGCAGGAGTTCCGGTACCATGTGCTTCAAAGTATTGTGGCCGGTCCGAGCGCCTGGAGAGATCGAGCCCTGCTTTGGCGTAGGTGGACCGGATCAAAGCTGCTTGGGCGGTTGCGCTGGGCATTGTGATTCCCGGGGTCTTCCCATCTTGGTTCACGCCTGTCTCCCGGATAATGCATTCGATATCGTCTCCGTCGGCGACTGCCTGACTCAATGGCTTGAGGACAATGGCAGCGACACCTTCACCGCGCGCGTAGCCGTCTGCTGCGGCATCCCACATTCGGGAGCGACCTGTGGGGGAGAGCATTTGCAATTTGCTCTCGGCAATGTATTGCTCCGGGCCCAGAATCAGGTTGGATCCCGCTACAACAGCCAACGAGGAATCCCCGCTACGGAGGGCTTGCACCGCTTGGTGCATGGCAATCAAGCTAGATGAACAAGCTGTATCAATGGTGAGCGATGGGCCGTGCCAATCGAAAAAGTACGAGAGTCGGTTGCTGAGAATACTGCGGGCCGTCCCGGTGGCAAAATAGGTGGGAAATGTCTCGGTATCACGCCCGATCATGTCCGTGAAATCTGCGCTCATGACCCCGACGTATACGGCCGTGTCTGAGCCTTGCAATTGCTGAATGGAGAGTCCTGCGGACTCCAAACTCTCGTAGACCGTTTCGAGCAGCAGCCGCTGTTGGGGGTCCACGGCGTTCGCCTCAATGGGGCTGATGCCAAAGAACTGCGCATCAAACCGCCGCAAATCTTCCTCCAAGAGATATGAATGCCGCACATTGCTGGTGCCATGATGTGCATTGTCGGGATGATAGAAGGAATCGGCACTGAACCGGTTCTCGGGGATTTCCTTCAGCAGATCCCGGGGGTTTCGCAAGAGCTCCCAGAGCTTTGACGGGGTATCACACCCGCCTGGGAAGCGACAGCCGGAGCCGATGATGGCAATAGGTTCTGGAAACCTGAGCGAGGAGACCATGGCGACACAAAAAAAAGGGGACGATAGTAATAGAGGTCTTATTGTCTGATTCAGAGGCTATGACGGTGAACATGTATTGCCATCTAGTGGCTTATATCGTATGCATCTGATCATCGCGATAGTGATGGCGATCTACCCAATTAGGAACAGAGCGAATCGACCTGGCCGATCACCGAGCTGTTTGAAAACTCCAAGAACCACCGGACTCGGAGTCCCGACAATGGCAATCCAATGGCCAAACCGACCTGGCCGATCACCGAGCTGGTTGAGAACTCCAAGAATCATTGGACACCGAGTCCCAACAATGGCAATCCAATGGCTATCGGAGCAGCGATATGTTCAGGCCCGACAGTCCTCCAGCAGTGTTTCGTTGGCAGAAGACCTTTGCATAATTCCAGCAGACACCTGAGCCTGCATTCACATCGTTTCTCGATTGGGAGGGGGAGGGGGAGGGATCATCTTGACCACAAAGAAACGCTTCTTCACAGAACATCTGCTTCAAATTAGTGATATCTCATCAAGAGGCACGGCTGATGGAGAGGTTGATGTAACATGTTGCTTCACGACACGTTGTGAGTTGGCTTGGAGAAGCAGTAATTGAGAAATTTGTCATATTTAGTTTGTTACTGAACCATATTTACAGCATAGTTTAATCAGGTAGTTTATAGTAGCTCTACCTGCGAGGCAGAGAAGGGGAGTTGTCGAGAATAAGTTGATTACCATATAAATTCTCCATTGGAAAATTCAAATCAACAAAACTAATGCATCATCGTTCATCACTAATCCCACTTTTTCCAGATTCTGTATCATAGAAGGTGTCCACGAGCTCAATTCCGCGACTTAAACATAGCCACTGCCTTGTCATCGGGCGCCCAGGTCCCACTCGCCAAGGGAGTCATCTTGGGTGAAGGGTGACCCTCCTTTCTCTTCACATCGTAGTTTTGGAGAATGTATGCAAACGCGATCTTGAGAGTACTATTGGCAAAAAACCGACCGGGGCACGCTTGAGTCCCGTCACCCCAGCCCGGAGAATCTGAGCTGGTGTTCAGCAAGTGGTACTTGTTCTCGTTTCCGGGAACCTGGCGCAGCTTGTAGAACCGGTCCATGTCAAACTCGTCTGGATTTTCCCAGATGTCTGGAGAGCGGTTGATAGCTGCTGCATCGACAGCGATGATCGCCCCCGCGGGAATCGTCGGTCCAACGCTGAGCTTCACCGGTTTGGCCAGCACGCGCTGCAAACTGACTGATTTTGGAGAGAGAAGCTATGGGTTAGCGGATACTTTCGCCCCTCAACATCCAACAACCATACCTAGAGGGAAGGCACTCACATAAACTGACGGGATGTAGACGGAAAGACTCGCGCAGAAAGCTGTCCATCCGTTTGAGCTCCTGCAGATGGGTCTGTGGAAGTTTGCCGTCGACCATGACTTCCTCGAGCTCATGGCGCAGAATATCTGCCGCCTCAGGGTGTGCAGCCAGCTCGCAGATAACGTGGTAGAGCGCCGACGCGGTGGATGGCGTCGAGTCGAAGCTGACCAGGATGTAGTCCACAATCAGCTGTCGAATAGTAGCCTCACCTTGCTTGTACCTCGACAGCAACATCGCCGTCAATGGTATTTCTCCGGCTTGCTTTGGACGCAACAGCTCCGACCGATCCTTGGCCTCTTTGAATGTCGCTATATCTTTGTGCAACATGGGGGTTAGAAGCCGGCCCATGTCCCACTGGTTCATCTTCGTCGGCAGGAACGCCAGAGGGGCCAGCAGGGGCCGCAGCAGAGTCGGACAGGCGTTCATGGCGAGGACCGCGACATGGATGACCAGGGGTGACTGCATCACTGCCTTGACCCATTTGTTGTTCGTACCGAGGTCTCGACCGACGAAAGCACAAGCGTTGATCTTGGCAACGATCTCGAAGGTGGTCATCAGCAGCCCGATCTCTTTCCATTCCGGCGCGTATCCGATGATTGATTCAAATGCCATGCGTGCATCCTCTTGACGCTTGTTGACTCGAGCCGGGATGACGCGGGTTAGATCGGCGATAATGGTCTTCAGAAGAGGCTGGGTCTCGTGGCCGACGTACGTCCAATCCCCCGCGTTCATCGTGTGGAAGAAATCTTTCGCCGATGCAGTATGCTCTGGAAGTCTCTTCAGTTCGTCGAAACAGCTCGGTGGATAGACGACGAAGCTGTGGCGTTTGTTCACCGCGAGATAGGGTCTGTCCGGGTACTGCCTCATGTGAGTTGCGAATTCTACATGCATTTTGCAGACTAAAGACGAACCTTTTTCCTCCCTTCGACAATGATATCTTCGAAGTGGTAGCTTTTTGCTTTAACTACAGGCAACTCCCGCGGCATGACAGGCTGTTTCTCACACATGCAGAAATATAGCACCAGGATTGAGCATGTCACGGCCAGCAGCACCAGTGCACCCGGGGGTATCTCACCCAGGAGGCTTTTCACAAAGAACTTTATCATCTGCCATCGTGACAATCTGAGTGGCTTAAGCGACTGCCGGAGCACTTCATAGGGCTCGATAATATTGGATTGTAGGCTCCACATGGTGAAGTCGATAATTGCACGAGTGGAATATCCACTCAATCCCACCACAGGCGGGTTTTGGTCCTTATTCTACCGGATTTTCTAAACCTTTTTGTCCGATCTTCGCTTCACTGATCGTCCCGCGAGCACCGTGGGAATGCCTCTGCAGGGAGGCAAAGCCACCTTCCTGCCAAGACGTTCGGACCCTCCGAACCAATCGGTGTCCGTTGTTGGACTACTAGGGTGGAAATGTTGTGCCAGAGGTGGTCGGAACTAACCAGTCACAATAAGATTCATGGTTCTAGCACACTATGGCAGGGTCAATCTTCAAAATACGAGAGTGGGCAAATTCTGATGTTGGAAGACGTATACAGTATAAATATATAGCCGTATGCATATGGGCTCTGGCATGATCCGACGAGGTTATACACTTACAACGTCTAAAAGAAGTAGAGTATCTTAATAGCCTACTAAACCAGAACAAACGTAATTAATTCTCCCGCTTTTCTTCTTGACCGTCCGCCAACCCAAAGTCAGACTCATGGACAGTCCTCAACCGTAAATCCTTTTCCAATAGAACCACCAACAGCCCCAGTCCCGCAAATACAATGCCAATCTGCCAAACTCGCCTTAAGCTCTGCTCGTAGAGACCGATAATCTCGCTGCGAATGGGTTCCCGGAAGGAATCCACCAGGGCCCGCGACGCCTGCTCATACGCCCTGCCTCGCGCCAATGCCCTCTGCGCCTTCTCATCGGCCAGATTTGACAGGAGCTGGTCAAATTGATTATTGAATATGGCGGCGGGAATACTCACTCCCCAAATGGTGCCCATGCTCCGGACAAAGGCAAAGGTACCCGTACTCGCGGCATTCAAATGATCTGGTAGGGCCGCTTGGATGCCGGTCAGAAGGCAGGCCATAACCACTCCGAGTCCCAGAGCGTAGATAACTGTCAAGATCACCCAGACAGCCGTAGATGTATCCCTGTCAAACATTGTAAAGCAGCCCATTCCCACTGTCATCAGTACAAAGCCGATAATATGGATGATACGGAATCGGCCGAGTCTGGTGGCGAGAGAACCCCCGACAAGGGCACCGACAGAATAAACAATGGAAAAAGGGAGAAGCTGAACCCCCGAGCGAGACGGGGACGATAACAGTGTAGACTGGAAATACAAAGGCAGAAAGTATGCTGCCCAGAAGGACACCAGGGTCTGGAGAAAGGTGGCCATGAAACCTGCTGCAGAGGTTCGGTTCTTAAACAGTTCGAATGGCATCACTGGCTGCACGCAGAAAGGGGACGCTTCGTAGAGGAAGAATAGACACTGGCCGCAAAGACCTAGAACAAGAGTGATGATGACGGACGGGTGCGACCATTCGTACCGCGTGCCACCGTACGTGAGAGCGTATAGGACGGATGAGACTGAGGCCGCGAGGATAATATTTCCCAGATAGTCAATCTGCTTCAACTGTTTGAGGACTGGTGGGCTCGCCGGATGTTGCACCCGCAGCACGAGATAGAGTAGTATTAGACAGGTGCCGCCAAGGGGAAGATTGATGTAGAACGTCCATCTCCACGACACATGCTGGACCATGAGTCCTCCAATCACCGGACCCAACACCGATCCCAGCACGATGAAGACAAACAGGAGTCCCATAAACTGTCCCCTTTCCTTCAGCGGCAGCAGATCACAGAGGATCAATTCCACCAGCATGTTGATGCCCGCTGCCCCGATCCCTTGGACTGTTCGACCACCGATAAGCATGTTGGTGGATGATGCACCGCCGCAAATCCCACTGCCAACAGTAAAGATGGCAACGGCAGAAATCATCGGCCATCGCCGTCCAAAGAGGTCAGCGAGTTGGGCATAAAGTGGCTGCACAGCAGCGCTAGAAGTATGATTATGATTAGCCAGCGATTCTACGACATGGAAGCATTTCATAGGTCCATACCTGGTAAGAAAATACACATTCACTACCCAGAGATAATTCTCCTCAGCGTGCATGGCACGAGAGATACTAGGGAGGGCAGTTGAGACGATGGAGCCCTCCAGAGAGCTCAGGAAAGCAGTGACGGCAAGACAGACAAAGACGGCCCAGAACAGCCATCCCCGGTTTGCCTTGGCCGGTGCTGGTGGTATTTGTCTCTCATTAGAAGGTAGATTAGTTTCTCCATCATCATCATCATCGGGTGCCAAAGCATTCTCTCTGTTGTCCGGCATGCTACGAGCAGTCAATTTATAACAGATCGTCGAGTTAAAAAGATTGGTCAATTTTTTTTGGACTTGTTAAGTTGGGGGTATGAGAGCAATAGAATTTAGCTAGGAGAATAAAAGGACAAAAGGAAGACAAGAAAAGGCAGCGCAAGAAGCAGTTGTATTCGGGGGGTGGGCTGTAAGACAGTCCTAGGAATGGAATGCAGGATTGGCTGATACCCCCCGCGGTGTCTTCACTTAGTTCCATCCCTTTCTGATATGAAGAACGAGGTATAGTACTTTTTTTCTCCAGTGCTGAGGGTGTAAGCCTAATTTAGAGACGACGTAGATTTCGTCCTGAGTATATTTAAGAGAAGGGGATGTGCTTGAGGTTAATTTATTGTATACTGATCGCTGGCATCTATCTACAAACTACTTCTCATGATACCAAAACACTCATCTAGAAACCGATATGTGCGCTGGTTACACAAACGGAATGCCCCCATCTTGGCCTGCAAACTCCCCTGTCCTTCGCTCTCGGGAATCCAGAGCTGCTTGTTGCGTTCAGCCACATTTGTGAGAGCATCGTAGCACCGCCGAGTATGGTTATTGACATCTAGGTACAGGGAATTGCCCGCCCCTGACAGCAATACAGGACACGTCACCCGGGAAAGAAAGCTCTTGTCATTGTCTTCTTGCTCACTGGATAACGTGTACTTTTTCATATGGAGGAGGATTTCCGAGGGCGAGGAGAGGCCGAAGAAGGTCCCCGTAATGGAAATCTCCCAGCGAAGTTGAAAGGAAACTCGAGATAAGAGCGCCATCAAGCAGTCCACGAAGCCGCCACTGATCCAGCCGGATGTCCAGGCGCGGATGAACAGTGGCGACACGTGCGCCGTGCCAAAATCCCACATATCGTAAAAAGGATCCTATACCAATTAGCAATGATTTAGAATGACTCCCAGCCGTAGCATCCGTGCTGCTGCTGTCCTTACAATCGAGACGCAAGCTTTGACTCGCGGGTCCGCCGCCGCACGGAGGGCATAGTATCCACCCATCGACGCCCCCGACACCGCTATACAGTGTAAATCCAGCTCGAATTGCGGGTTCTCCGCCGCATACAGCTCAAGATAGTCGATCACTCGTCCTGTAACAATCTCCCAGTCCGGTCTCATCTCCAGCCCGTACTTCCGCAACATGATTCCCTGCCCCGGACCATCGAACGTCACCACGGCATATCCCATTCCCGGCCCAGCCGCCGGATTCAGGTAGAACAGTTCTTCCTGACACGAATCGGCGCCCCCACTGTTGACGAGAATTGGAATTTTTCGACCTGGAATCCGCCTCGACGGGGGTGGCAGATACAAATACCCCGGCAGGACGTGCTCCTCGTAGGGAATGGAAAGAATATGAACAGATCCATCCATCAGAGGGACCGCCTTCTGGAATAACTCTCCTACTTTCTCGGAGATGGGAAGAGCGCGCGCATCCTGCACGAGAGGGCCGCCGCTGAGCTCTGCTTGAGAGACGTACATGTATCCGCTGGCGCGGGTGTAGTTGGAGGCCCGGAGATACCCAGCTCGAGCAGCGTCGCGATCGCCACTCTTGATGGCGTCTGCTGCAAGCTTCTCCGCTCGCTCCGCCTGGATGCGCCAGGCCCTTTCCCATGAGTCCGGTTCGTTTTTCTTGATCTGGTCGACGGCTTCCAGAACCTCGGCCACCTCTGCTCCGCCATAGCAGGTAGTGCCTAGAATGCGGATAGCTTCAAAATCGAAGAAAGGGGCGTCCTTGAATAGCTTATGCATGGCGATGTTAAACAGGAATTAGACAATGAATGCGGTGCGAGAAATGATTCAGAAGAGGGAGGCCTTGCACGTCTTCTCTAGTATGTACTGATACATACTCAGAGGAGGTATTTAGGTTATGTGTCGGTACTTACAACCTGTGGATAGTCCCGGGTGGTTGCTGGTTGATTGGCTCGGGAGTCCGGATAGGGATGTATATTCGGCCCTCCGAGTGACACAAATTCTCAGTCACGGACAACCCGGTGCTGTTGCATACCAATGAAAAGGCTGTTAGTATTTCTAAGCATAGTCCCTGATAAGATTGTTTCTCAAGCTAGAAGAGTGTCTTGAAAGTGATAGTAATTTGTAACACCATTGTCAACTTCACGTAGTTGCATGAGTGTATACATAGTCATGTATATCCTCATACTCAGTAAGATGCATCAGACCACGTAGTTACTCCGGAATAGTGGGGAGTTCTTAGGAAACGTCAATGATTCCGTCAACGCAACCCCTTGATACTGTGACAATCCCACATGTCCCCCCCGAGAATGACCTGAGAATCCGCTTCCTCCCACGCCCTCCCCCAGGATGTACTCGAACCCCAGATTCGCATGTTCCACGAAGAAAGTATAGTGTTGCATCTTACCCGGGGACACGAGCTCAAGTTGGTATCCGGTCACCTTATCTTTCAGGGTTCCGGTGATGGCGCCCCCGTAGGTCTTGGTCACCAAGGCGTAGTCGTCAACATCTGAAGGCTCCGTGAGAGTACTGCGGAAAACTGGGAGCCCATCTTTGAAAAGCACGACCGACTGTCGCATCTCACCTGGGTTGATGTTGGAGGTGAAACTGAAGCTGGTCAGGACGTAGGGGCCTAACATGGCCCGGACGGCGCTTAGATGGGTGAGACAGGTAAACCAGCTAATTGGTTTAGCTTCAAAACTCGAAGAAAAGGAATATACGTAAAATCGGATATCGTACCTGAAAGCAGACCAGAATCGCTCATGCCCACCCATTCCCCGAAATACAAACGGTTTGTCCTTGATGACCACCTCCACATCGACGTCGCCTGCCGGAATGGGTTCGGACCAGTGATAGAAGGGGACTCCCTCTGTGGAGGCATTCTGCGCCGGCCAAACATGGCCATCTGCGGTCAACGGACGCGAGCGGGACTTAATAATCACAGATCCCTTGACGGTAGGAGAATCGAGGAATACAACGGCCTCACTCATATCTGCGTTGACCTGGAACGAAAAGCTGTACCCCTCAGCATCGTCCACCCATTGGCCCCTGGTGCCCACTGAGCAGTGCTCCACCACGGATCGAGACGGATAGTACACCTCGTAGAAACGTGTGCGGTCGGCAAAGGCAAATTCGATTGACAGCCGGAAGTTGCCTGTCCCCAGAATGGCATAATTGGCATCGCGATAGAAGCCGAAGACAAAGGACTGCATCCCGTCTTCGGAGACACCGTCAAACTCCCACTGTTCCCCGGCGGTGGAGTTGAGCGGGGTGACTTTGGGTGCCTCGAAAGACTCCATTGCATTCGTGGTGATGTCGACCATTTGGCGTCCCTTGGCCATTTCAAAGGCCGTCAGGTTGCTGATTTGGCATTGCTCTGTGAACAAAGGGGTTTGGCCATCCAAAGGAGAAGCGCGATCGTCCAGCCAGTGCGCCGGCCATGGCTGCCAGCTTTTGACTAGGGCAACCAGCGTCAAGTAGCACAGTAGAATAGAGGTGTGCATGATGATACTCTGAATGTCTTCAATAATTGTCGATCCTGTCAATTGAAAGAAACGGCACAGCAAGGGGTATCAACTGCTTTTTGTTCTGGGCATAATCAGCTATACTTGTGTGATTCACTTGGAACCCTACGAGGGTCTCCGAATATGTCGGTCAGAGAATATTTTGTTCCGACTCCGAAAGGAATTGCCCGAGACAAGTAGATCTTTGGTCTGACGATTCAAAAGTTAGATAGAGTGTTTTATCTGGCCCTAACTCCTCGTCTCTTGCGCGTAACCAGATAACTAGGCTAATAACTAACCCCTACCATCAAACAATGACCATATCAAGCACGCCCAACCAGCCTCCAAAACAGACTGTCATTCTGGAAGGAGATGATCTGCGTCTCCAGATTGACGACAATGTCCCCCTTCCCGTCCTTCGACCGAACGAGGTGCTCGTCCGCACAATGGCGGTTGCCATAAATCCCTGCGATTACAAGATGCACGAAAGATTCCCCTCCCCGGGTGCCATTGACGGATGTGACTTTTCCGGTATCATTTTAGCCATTGGATCCACCGTACCCAGCTTGGGGGTGTCTTTCGAAATAGGCGATCGAGTATTCGGTGCGGTGCATGGCTCAAACCCCATCCGACCTGAATCAGGCTCGTTTGCCGAGTACATAGCCTCAGAGGCACAATTTACCCTGAAGATTCCAGACTCGATGTCCTTTGAGGAAGCCGCGGCACTGGGGGGAACAGGACTGGCGACGCTGGGCATGGCGCTCTTTCGTACGCTAGAATTACCAGGAACGCCCGAGGAACCAGCCCAGAAGCCGCAAACCGTACTGGTTCACGGAGGAAGCTCCTCGGTTGGGACGATGGCGATGCAATTACTGCGCTTGTAGGAAACCAAGGATCTATGACCGTGACTGACGAATGGAGTTGACTAAATTACAGGGTTGGTCACGTTCCCATCACGACATGTTCCCCACGAAACTGGGCCCTCGCCAAAGATTACGGAGCAGAGGAAGTGTTCGACTACCACGAGCCTGAATGCGCGCAGAAGATCAAAGCCCACACCCGCAACACTCTTCGCTACGTGCTTGATCCGTTCACCGACGCTAGAAGTATTGCACTCTGTTGCGGGGCCATGGGCCGCGCTGGCGGACGATATGCCTGCCTGGAGATGCATCCGGAGTATCTGTTGGAGAGGCGCACAGTCAAGGTTGGTTTTGTGATGGGTCCGGCACTACTTGGGCATCGGTTGGAATTGGACTACGGGTATGAGCGAGAAGCAGATCTTGATATGCGTCAGTTTGGAGTCCGCTGGTATCGGAGCATCCAATGGCTGTTGGACCACGGTCGATTGCGGCCACATCCTCTGAGGGTGCTTCCGGGGAGGTTTGATGCCATCCTTCAGGGGATTGAGATGCTGAAGAGCAAGAGCGTGTCAGGCGAGAAGTTAGTCGTTGTCATTGGCAAGTAGGTCCGTATCGTGCAAGTGCGATTTCAACATGTTCAATTATGCGTATTTTGGTAGGATGATGACATCCCGACGCGGGGAGAAGATCGGAGTCGGATTTGTGGTTCGGTAGGAGGTTCGGCAGCTTTCTGGCCTCATAGCCAATCGGACATGATAATGCAAGTATGATCAGTCCCTCCGTCCCGAGAATGCTGTTTCGCAGGCTGGAGAATTACCTACTCTGCTTGTTCACAGGTAGGTCACATTATGTGAGATCCGTCCTTTACTCTACAGGTGCTGTATCGCATTTGCTTGAACCCGGTATCTGATATCCCACATGATGATCATTCTACTCACTCTTGCTACGATCGCTGTAGCGTCCATTATCTGGTGGCGCCTTGCTATACAGCCCCCCGTAAACAAAGACGCTCTTGCTCATATTCCAGAAGTTCGTTTCGATGAGAATGATACACCTGAGCGGTATACCCAGGACTCGCGGTCTCTCCTGTTTAAATGCTATGACAAGGTATGGTATTCTCCTCTTACAATGCTGCATTAATAATATACCAATGATAATAGTACCTGCGCAATGGGATCCCCGTCCAAATGCGAAACCCCATTGGGGAGCTAGGCCCACAGGTCCTGCTGCCTATGAAGTATCTGGATGAAGTTAAATATGCATCGACTCATCTTTTCAGCTTCCCTCTATTCTCAGAGAAGGTATGTGGCTTGTCTCAAGCAACTGGGAAACGTAATTGAGCCAAAGCAGGTGTTTCTTCTCAATTACAGCGATGCGCCGCAACAGACGGATGCGGCAGCGCATGTAGTTCGCGTGGAGTTGACAAAGAATCTCGGTTAGCATTTTCATACCAAAATGTCAATTGCGGACGTTCTTTTGCTGATTACCACCAGGTATGCTAGCAAACGGCATGTACCAGGAGGCGGTAGAAGGATTGCAGGCAAATCTACCTGATTCTAAGGGTTGTTCCCCCTGCCGTATCTGTTTATTTCAAACCTCACTGACGTCTGTAGAATGGAACACCGTCCCGGCTTATAGCCTCCTGGCCAATGTGACAGCCCGAGTAACCGCGCTGGCGCTAGTGGGACCCGAGCTCTGCCGGAATCGCGAATGGATTGATATCTCGCTCCAAACCACCTTTGCCATATTCAACGCCGCATTTAGCATCCGCGCCAAGTACTCCCCTGGTTGGAGATGGCTGGCTCGCTGGCAGAGCGATGCTCCAAGGAAGATGCGGGCGATGCGGGCCAGAGCAGTCGAGTTGCTTACTCCTTGTTATGAAGAACGACTAACAGCTGTAACGGAACACAGTTCCCGGAATTACATTGATTGTCTGCACTGGCTGCTTAATATGAATACAGGCGACAAGTCGCTTGGTCAAATCGCGGACGAACAGTTGTTTCTGACTGTTGCATCTATGCATACCACCTCTTCAAGTCTGACATCGGTCCTGTATGATCTGCTCATTCGCCCAGAGTATTGTGCTGAGATTACTCAGGAGGTGCACGACGCTTTGGCAGAGTGTGGTGGAAACTGGACCTTACAGCAGGTGGCCAAGATGAAGAAGTTGGATAGCTTCATGAAGGAGAGTCAGCGGGTCCATCCCATCGGCTTTAGTGAGCTCGACCACCCTTACTACGCTTGAATTAGCTGACATCTGGAAGTCACAGCTCAACGTGTCACAGTCCGTTCACATACCTTCAAAGACGGCCTCCATCTCCCAGCGGGTGTGATATTCCAATTTCCCGCCGACGCGGTGCACCACGATCCAGAAATCTACCCGGATCCGAACCGGTTTGATGGCTATCGTTTCCTTCGTCTCCGGGAGACGGTCGATCCGAATCGCTTTCATTTTGCGTCGGTCTCCGATACAATGCTGGGGTTTGGAGCTGGTTCCCACGCTTGTCCGGGAAGATTCTTTACTGCACTGGCCATCAAGCTGATCCTGGTGGTGCTTTTGACCCAGTATGAAGTCAAACTGGCGGACTCCAAGGATGGATGTCGGCCGCCAAGCACATTTCATGACTTTAACATGGGTCCCAGTCAAGAGGCCCAGATCATGCTGCGGAGGTCACTTTCTAGTACCTGATCTGGGATTTGGTCATATTCTGAGAGTCAAATGCAATATCTCTCTCTCTGTGTACATGAGCTCCAGTGCACTAATTGCTCTGATTTACAACCGTATTTTAGTAGGTACGCGCATCTAGATTAAGATGTGCTTCTACTTTGTCCAATTCGAATTTGTGACTTTGATAGCTAGCTATCACTGATCTGAGTGTCTGTACAATGATTTGTTCGGCTGCCCGACTCCGAAGGGCCGATCCGCCATTCCATTCTAGGTTTAAGATTTTGGGCATATTCCCAAACAGTTGACACTACCTCTTAGCTCTACCATCTCTCAACTTCCAACTGTCAAACCTCCACTTGAGAATCTTGATATTAATCAACCCTTATCATGACAGTAATCGAGATTGAAGTAGTCTTTGACTTTGTTTGTGCGGTAGGTGTTTCAGGCCTTCGCAGCTCTTCATACATTGTGACAGCGGAACTGACACTTTGTAGTGGTGCTATATCGGCAAGCGCAAACTCGACCGAGCCATCGCGCTGTATCAAAAAACATACCCAGGTGGTCGATCTGACATTTTCTCTATCAAATGGAGCCCTTACTACCTCAACTACAACCCACACCCCCACAGCGTGCCTAAAAGCGACTTGATTGATGAGCGAATGGGAGACATGACTCCAGAGCAGCGAGCCACATTGTTCAACCGCATGAACCAAATTGGACGCACTGTTGGCATCATTTTCAAGCCCGGCGGCCTCATTGGGAGTACTCGTGACGCGCACCGTCTGGTGCATCTCAGCCACACCAAGTCTCCTGAGATCCAAAATGCCTTGGTGAACAATATTTTACAAGCCTATCATGAGCTGGAGAAGGACATCTCATCCAAGGAGGTGCTAACAGAGCTCGCCGTGAACGCTGGATTGGAGCAGGCCGAGGTGGCTGAGTGGCTCGATACCGATCTGGCGGGAGATATTGTAGATAAGGAGGCTCGACAGAACAAGGAGGAGCCAGGCAATACCGGTGTCCCACGATATATCATTCAGCGGGCGTATCGTTTGGACGGAGCGGAAGATCCATCTAAATTCATCGAGGTGTTCACCAAGATCAAGGAAGATAAAACGGAAGCATGAAGAGGAATCGGTGTCTCTCAGATGACATCTGAAAATAAGGATACGTTCTATAAACAAATACCAGCTGTTGCACTCAGAATTTTAGTCTACGTTTCGAATGATACAAAATTATAGTATTACTAATCCCCAGCATCATAACTAACTATGTCTACTAACTGAATAATCAACTACACTTACTCAACCAATCTACAAGACTAAGTTGTGCGTGTCAGAACATTCTACTCAATATCTATAGATCCCTGGAGGTGCTTTTTGACATATAATGGAGCTTCAGCGCTCACACATGGAATGTCCGCTGTCATGCAAGTCTAACTATGTGGCCTGGTGAACCATCTTTGCTGACAGTAATTGTAGATCTGGAACATCCTCTAGAACAAGCGCGCCTAATGTTCGGCCCCTCGATCATGAGCTCTCCCGTAGCTCTAACGGGAAGAAGCTGTAAAGGGTCGTCCCACTAGCCAAGACGTGCATCCTACCGCACGGCTGATATCTCTGGGGTGGGAGCTGAGTTGGATGTCATTCTGTATCGTGGATAACACAGTACATTCCGCGGGGCCGTATGCATTCATTAACGCAACCTTGCCAGTCTATTTACCTATATCTTCCGCAGTCAACGGTTCGCCAGCAAGCACCAATGTCTTGAGACACGGGATGTCGGCTGGGTTGAGGAGCTGAGAGACAGATGGCGTGAGCATAAGAGTGTTCACACGCAGGGCAGTGATAACACCAGCCAAGTTGCCCATCTGCTCCTTGTCTGAGGGTATGCGAACACACCCTCTAATAATTAGAGTCCCTAAGACCTTAAAGATAATGATGTTAAATGTATAGGAAGTAAATTAGAGAATATAAGAACCACTATCTAGTGATATATATTTAGCACAGGCCAGTGCAGGGTTACTATATGATGTGTGCTCCACCACTACACCCTTAGGCTGCTCTATTAATCCAGAGGTAAATATAATATAGAGGGCATTCTCAGGGCTTGCTAGGGGTGATTGCTAACTAGGATCTAGGGCTTACTCAGATCTCTTATTCATTAAGATAACTTTTAATGCTAGGGCGACACTGACGGCCATATGCCGTCGATGTTACTACAATCTTGGGCCGGATTTGACCGCATATGGCCTGCATCATTTGCATTGGTAGAGCTTGATCGATCAGGGTAAACGCTCCACCAGCCTTCAACACAGCTAGCATCGCAACGACCACCCCTCGAGATTTCGGTAGCACAGAGGAACGAGCACTTCGGGGCCAACCCCAACACTCGTAAGATGCGCAGCTACTGCTGAAGAGGACCGATCCAACTCAGCGTAAGTCATTGCGCCATCCCAACTGTGGATAGCTGGTGCATCAGGTTGGGTCTGAGCCTCTTCCTTGATCAGGGTGTGGACGAAAATATCTAGTGGTTGCCAAGGTATAAGGGAATAATCATTTCTGTCAGGGGTTGGTACGCAAGTGGTGCGGAGCTATATATGCTGCCAACCTTCAACCACCACCACGGTCTAAAATGATTTTTTAAACCCTACATATTTAAACCCCTAGAAATCAAGTCGATATTTTCGATATAGGTTCGTACGATGATAATTACCAAATATTTTTAGATAAAATGATAATTATATAGGCATGCTGTGACAGGCCCTAGGCATATGCCTGCCTACCTACCTACCTCCCCTGGACATTCGACCCTATGATGCTCTGGGTATTATTCTATTAGCCTTATTTAGCTGCATTTATTTTTTTTATGCTTGTTATAGATTATAGATCTCACTAGCTAACTAGGAAACCTTAGCATATGTACGAGGATTAGCCGGTTAGGCAGACAGTCACACATGTTAAGCAAGACTTTCATGGAGCTCAGAGGGCTAAAGCATGCTTTTCCACAAACCTAAATTTGTATACTCATCATCAACTGATCCGGCTTGCTAACTTCTAAGTGGCATACTAGGATATTATCCCCTGCGGATCTAACTCTTGATGAACTGCCTGCTGGGTTCTTTTCTCACCATGGCTCGCCAGAATCAGGTCATTTCAGAACACTGCCAGGGTAATGATAGGTTGAAAGCTAGAGGGCTGTGGGTTCTGTAGGAACATCCTACATTAACAGGCGGGAAGGTGGTCTTTCGTAGTGCTGACGTCATCTACGCCTGGGAGGTTGTTGGTGTCATACACGCAGCGACCACTAGCAGCACCAGAAAACAGATATTGCAGGATGTGCCGCATGCCATCATGCAGTAAGCTTGACTGGACTTATAAAATTAAGGCCTAGCTTTTTGCTGTTGTTACTGATTAAGCTTAAGAGATATGCTGGTGTATATTAGCATATCATCCTGCATTTCAGAGATCCTAGTTCATCTTAAACATTCGATAATACCATTCATTGATCTGTGCATACTAATAAGGTGCATTCATGGTGTGTCAGTTAACACAATGAAGCCATCGCGAAAATCTATCTTGGATCATGTCGAAAGAACCAAGGCTGGCGGTGTTGGTGGTTTCCATTACTATTTTTGTCCTGGCGACCACCTTCGTTGCCCTTCGTTTCTACTCCAGAATCGTGATAGTCAAGAAGTTCGGGCACCACGATTACTGGAGCCTTCTGGCCTGGGTACTTTGTGGATCTCGTCTGTGGCCAAAACGTGGACTGACGCTTCACAGATCATCGATTTTGCCTTCTCATTCTCCTTATTCTACGCAACAGCAAAGGGCCTCGGACTTCCTGCAGCTGACATAAAACCAGAAAACCGACATAGCATCATTCGGGCTACCTTTGCATTCACCGTGCTTTATGTGAGTCCGCTATGAGACCCAGCTGTGATGAACTCCCAGATGACCTATGCTCATCATGCCCCTTAGAACCCAGCTTTAATGACAGTAAAGACATCGATCCTTGTGTTTTATCTGACCTTCGCCAGAGGCGAAAAACTTTTTCGACTGGGAAACTACCTGACTCTCTTTGTAGTTAATGTATCTGGCCTCGCTTTGACCTTCCTCACTATTTTCCAGTGTCGTCCAGTGGGTTCCGTCCTGAAGCCAACACTGCCGGCAGCGGCGTCCTGTACCAGTGTGATCACACTCTACTTGTCCAGCGCACCAGTGAATATAATCACTGATATTGCTATCCTATTCCTCCCAATGCCTATTCTAACCAAGATGCACCTGCCGCGGAGGCAGAAATTCATCTTGATAATCACATTTGGCTTCGGCTTTTTTGTGACAGTCGTCGACGTGATCCGGATTGTGTACCTTCAGCGTGCTCTGACAGAGACTCAGCTAAGATCTCAGTCGGGGCCTATCCATAGCGGCTCTCTGATCAGCGTTTCATGTACGATCTATGCCACCCTCTTGTCACGGCACGTCATGCTGACCTCTGATACACTAGCTTTCACTGCATTGTCATTCATGTGGTCCGTAGTGGAGGCCAATATGTCTGTCATCTGCAGTTGTGTCCCACTCCTTAAGCCGCTCATTGCTCGCATCATGCCGCGGATGATCGGCCTCAGCGGCAAGAGGCACGGGAGGACAACTGGTGCGGAAACCCCTCCTGACGAGATACCAGGCGTTGGTTCGTCCACGAATATTCGCTTGTCCGCCATGGCACGGGTAAACCGTTCCGGACCCTGCGGTGATCGCCCCGTCTCCTCGGATGAGGGTGGGGATGATAATAGTACAGATAGTGTTGTCCAGCTACGTTGGGATAGCCGAAGAAGAAAGTCACGTTTAGGCTCTTCTCAAGGAGTTCCAGGAAAGTCTTTAATCCTGCTTGGCACACAACATAGATCTTCGTCCTAATGGTTCATTGTCACAGACCCTGAATTAAGCGGAGTCCGCTCAGGGGACTCCCAGCCCGGCGCCGCTTTGATTGAGTTTGTACGGATGAAGGGGCCAAAGAACATGCTGAAACTCAATAATAGAGAATCCTTGGCACCGATAGCCTTGGTCACACTCAGTTTCTGGCTGTGGGGTTTCTCATACGGGCTTCTCGGTAATTTGACCGGCCATCTTCAGGCTGTTCTCGGACTCGATACCTGGCAATCCCTCGGCATCCATGCCGCATACTTCAGTGGCTACTTCGTTAGCCCAGTAACGCTTGGTCGCTGGATTTTGAAAGGATGGGGCTATAAGGTTACACTGATCACAGGCCTATCTGTTTACGCCTGTGGGACATTGATATTCTGGCCATCTGCCGTTCTCTCGTCTTTTCCTGCTTTCATCGTCTCCAATGTCGTCATCGGTGGTGGATTGGGGGTCCTAGAAACCGCTGCCAATTCCTTCATCGCCTTATGCGGGCCACAGGAGAACGCCGAAATTCGTTTGAATATCTCACAGGGCATTCAGGCTATCGCAACGGTTGTTTCGCCACTACTTTCCGAGAAAGTCCTTTTCAAGAACGTGACAAATGTCTCAGCTCTAATCAATTCACAGTGGACGTATCTCAGCATTGCATTTTTCGACCTACTTTTAGCTGCAGCGCTGTACTACCTACCTATTCCAGAAGCACCTGACGACGACCTTGAGCAGATCGCAATTCGCTGTCGAGGAGACGGATCGAGCAAAATACTGGGCGTTCCAGTCATCTGGCTGACTCTATCTTTGGGTGTGGGCTCACTATACCTCTATGTCGCCGGCCAAGAGGTTGTAGCAACAAGCTTTGAGTCTCTGGTGGCGGCGTCTAACATCAGGTAAGAAATTATCACTATCTCTTTTCTCTATGATTAACTCAATCTTCTCCATCACAGTTCAGACCTTACACCCTTTGACTATGTAACAGTTGGTCACACAGTGTTTGCTGTTGGCCGTTTTCTGACTGCTTTGGCCCTCTGGTTCCTGAAACCTCGGTGGACTCTGATGATAGCATACGCTGGCATGGTGATTTTCTCCACTCTTTGTCTGAAGACGTCTGGTTTGACAGCGGTAATCATGGGCTTGATGATCTACCTGTTTGAGAGTGGTGCTTTCAGCACCCTGTTTGCCATTTGTCTTCGTGGTATGGGGAAACACACAAAGACAGCAGCCTCTCTTTTGGCATCAGCTATCGGCGGTGGAGCGTTTCTACCTTTTGTACAGCATGCAGTGTCCACGTCCCATGGGGTGTCCTACTCCTACAGCGTCCTTGTCGCTATCTTTAGCACCGGGGCCCTCTTTCCATTATATTTGAACCTTGTACCTGCTGCTACAAGGCAGGTAGACCCAGTGCCCCATACCTACCAGAACAGTCATCAGCAAGTGAGCTCCAGAGAAGCAGATATGTCCCATGGCGAAAGATAATCGAACTGTTCCGGCGGACAGTGCAGCTCTCCCAGGACAGGCCTAAATGAATATTACAAGTTGCGATTACCAAGACTGGGTGTATCACTAGGCAGACTATATTTTCGAGTGTACACAGCTACAGTGAATTCTCTGAGAGATTGCCACTGTCCGTTGTATGCGAGATCTGCGAAATTAGATGGCGGATCTTATCTAGTTCGACTTCTGCGCCGCGGCCTTTCTGACCTTGGCTTATCTGGGCTTCTTCACTCTTTCTTTCCTCATCGGATGGAATTCCGAAGGCCAGGATGATTAAGTGGTCGTAGGTAGCGATATCAAGGGTGTGGGACGAGAACTTAACTTGCGAGTAGAGCTGCTCAAACCCGTGGCGCGGCTAGACCACACGAGACTGCAACATATGGCGGCATGCTCCATGACCAGAGCCTTCGGCTTTCCCGTTGGCCCTGAAGTGAAAAGGGCATACACGGCATTGTCCGGGCGACATTTAGGTGCTCGCCACATCGCAATCTCGCTCAGGGACCATCAGGAGCTGTACTCGTCACTCACCCAATCGTATGTGCACCGTGCGACTTGATATAATTAGCGCGAATACGTCTACTGTGCAAAAGGACGGTGTTCAAGTCAAGCACGTAAAGACGCACCGCTATGTAGAAAAAACCAACAATGGTGGCCACATTATAGATTTCCTGTGCCAAGTCGCTCGCGGGCTTCTGGGGATGGGTTGGACAAGTTCGTCAGGTCAACGACAGGAATGCCCATGAACTGGCCGGGCTTGACTCATTCCGGCATCTCAATATTGCCAAACCGGGCCTCAAGGGATTTGCGTAGTCATTATTCAGCGGGAAGCCTGCGAGTATGCTAGGACTTGCGAAAGCTATGTCAATGGCAGAGCAGGGAAACCAAGATAGCTCTCTTCTATTTATGCTGAGCTGTGCATGGTAGAAGACAGTTGCCCCTTGTTTACAAGGCGGCCTGGAGAAAACGGTCGAACCTCAATTATTTGGAGGATTGATTTCTGCAACTGAGCCCGCATAGGCATCGTAGCCTGAAGGCCCATTGTCTACTAAGAAAAGGGAAGGGGGAAGATCGCTCTCGGGTCAGCTAAGTCTATCTCGTACAAAGTATATCACTGTTAATCTATGACACGAATATGGTCTTCGCTCGACTTAGAAGAATGATTTCTTCATCAATAGTCGCCGCAGACTAGACTAATGGAACGAAGTCCTCTTTCTTTATAGGAGAGGTTCTCAGGGTAATGAATTAATTGATTATACCCAATTTCCTTCCTTAATAATGTTCTGATCCTTATTACTCAGAAGACGAGATAATTTCCAAATAGCGGGAGACATAGACAGCCCCTCAAATTGCGAAGTGAGCAACAGCACATGGCCTCATATGAGTCCACCAATAAAACAAAGCAACATCTATCCTAAAGAGTAGCCAGTGTACTATTCACAGCCAGGTTCGCCGTTGCAATTTCCGGGTATTGTGCCTTGGGGTCGAAATTCAATCTCCTTGCATATTCACGCTCAAAGACAAGGCAGTGCGTTGATCCACCACTATGGAATGCCCCGATAAGATCTCCCTTGGTAATAGTGCTTCCTTCAGTAGTGCTATCTTCCCACTGGCAGGTGGATACCTCGGACATTCCAACCGGTACGAAGCCCACTAATCCAATCTGTGAGCCATTTTCAACATTTGTGTCAACAATAAGAACACCGCGTGCTGCTATGTGAGTGATATAACGCTGCGACATATCTGGGCCAGCTGGATCAGGTCCGCTCGAACCTCCTAATCCTGCAGCACCTGTTTCGGCAAAGTATGTTCCATCGATGAGGGATCGGTATACAACCTTGCCGTTGACAGGGGCATTCCAGCAGTGGTAAGAGTCTGCACTCAGGAAGGCCTGATACACAGTACCGCCGACAAATTTGTCAACATACTGGCTGACTCTAGTATCCTGCGTGGCTCCTAGCATATCATGCAGCGAATATGGTATGCCCTTAAGCCAGAAGGTAGTGCGGCCCGAGACGTCGGTGTCAAATGAAAGAGGGAACGATTCGCAAGCATTGACAAGGGCCGCGTTTCCTACAGGGCGGACACCGGCTTTAAACTTGCGCGTAAAGAATGCATCCCAATGAGGATAGTTGAAGAAGTTCTCCTGCGTGCCGCCCGGGGGGTGTTCGAATAGTTGTGTAAACTTCCTCTTACTACCAGGTGTAGCATCATTTGCCTTCTTCTCCAACTGTTGGACTGCTATGTCTGAACTCCAACCAGCATCGATCAGTGCTTGGTTTCCACCACCCTCCTCCCCAGTCCTTCCCTTTGGATTGCTGAGGAACTCATTCCATTTATTCAAGATCGCTTTCAGAGACTCATTTACTCTGGGATCGAGGAAGAATTGACGACCGCTCTCCGTCCCCATCGGCCAGTCAACGATGACATTGAATGGGAACCCAATAAGACCGCTGGGTACGTCGGGGCTGTCCACCAAGAAGTACTCTGGCACTTCAGTCAAGAGGGTATTGAAGAGATATAGCATGGTTTTGTAGTTCCGGACTTGTTTCTTGAGTGTGGTTGGGTCCCTATCGTATGGGGCCTTGTCAGGGACCTCGTCGAACATGGAATGGGCAAGCATATAGAGGGTTGAATTGTTTTCAATTAGGTTCCTCAATGCGTCGACGGGGTTCTCCTTGCCATCCCTCAATCTTCGGGGAATTTCTGGCTTAGCCTTTTCCAGAAGGTGAGATAGCCAGGCTCGGCGAAGTCTAACGTCCTCAGGCATCCAGTGGCCGTAGCCATGAGTGGCACTCCCGGTTGCGAGCCCACCCAGGCCGGGCTTGGCGTACGCAGATAGGTAGAATTTCTGCATCTTCTGAGGAATAGTATTGTATCTGGGTTGGACAATGGTGCAAGGGAGAAACTTGATGTTTGAGATCTGGGAGAGACTGAATTATGCGCCTTGACTTGGGTTATTCTTAATACTTCAATCTCCCAGTATAGAGTAGGCATTACATCCAGTCTAACCTATGGTTACACGTACTTTTGGAACCTGGGAACCCTGTGATCTATTACGTTTACATGCAGAACACGCAGCATCATATGCACGAAGTAGCATCCTCCCGGCATTTCAGCTGAAACGAACATAGCCCACGTAGACGGCACGACCCACCTACGAACCCGGTCTTCTGTGAGTTTCAAACCATGGTTGCCCTCGGTACGAACTGCGTCCTAACTCACTTGGGCTCTGTACGTAGTCTAGAATTTCACTTTCATTACAGCCTTATATACTTTCTCAGGCAGCAGGACATTGAACACTCTGAGCCTAGATTAATGCGTCTAGAACAGGTCTATGAAATCTCACTACAACCTAGCGTAGGGGTTCCAACAACGGTCACCTTTCCCAAGAGGAGCTAACTGGCAGCTAGCAAGTCAGTCTTTACATCATGCATGCCTTCCAACATATGTTATGTCACATCCGCCAGTTCAGCTGATGATGAGTGTGGCGGCAGCTGTTGTTTTCAGAGTAAGCTTGGGATGTTTGCCAGTTGGTGTAGTGTGGGAAAAGAGGGGCGTATGAACACCGCGAATTGACCTGGGGAGCCGGAAGAAGCAAATGGGCGGAGGAAGCACGGTACTTGTGATGTTGCAATGCTACAGTTACTCACATTCAGCAGAAAAAAGTATGGGCCAATGAATGTAACATCATTTATCTCAAACTTTCAATCAACTGTCTTAATATATGTACTACATCACCTGGAGAAATGCTTTTTATACTATTCCCTACACAATGACTAACATATATATGCTTATTTTTAATTATACACAATAAACAGTCTTAAGAAATTTTTGTGCATGTTGCTGTCCAGTGTATGGAATGTTTCCAAGTTTATATCTTCAATGGTTATACTGTGGCGATCAAAATTATATACTCATGACCAAATGCAAATATCAGTGTGCTACCTTGTCTCGAGGAATAGGCATTGCACAGAATCTTTTTTGCTCCTGTGCAATTCTATGCTTTTGATACAGACTCGAGCTCTTTTTGTAGAGTCTTCCATGATTCAATCCCCCTCATTGCAGCAGTCTCTGGTTGACTGAGCCTATCCCGCATGCCGCGGTCAAAGATCTCCATTGACACCCAGCCTTTGAAACCTATCGCCAGGATCCAAGCTTCGGCAATGTCGGCAATAGGCAGATAGGCACCATGGTCATGCTCAAAAGGAAATGGTCGTGCATGTTTGGACCAAGTAAATTGCGGCGCCTCCCCTTCGACAAACCAAGGGTGATCCTTGGAGAATGGAGGATCGAATCTTTCGCCATCAGATAGCTGGAGAAAGAATATCTTCTCAACGGGGCAATTGGCAACAAAGCGATTAAGTGATTCACGAAGGGCTTTATCAGAATCAGGGAAGCGACCCGACGCGGCGAAAAGGTCACCCCATAGCTTCGTAGCTTCATGAAACGTGTCTAGACATAGACCGAAGTTTGGTCGATTGACTTCGTTGACATATTGCAAAGCGACCTCCCAGGTAGAGCAGTGTGTTCCCCAGGACAGATACTCATATGCAATTGATATAACCGGCTGCTCCGCGCTTCCGATATCAGCCAACTGCTTTAGCTCACTGATGACCACGTCTCTGTCGCCGATAGCGTCTGGTTTGTAATTTGAAGGAATCTGCAAATATGACGCGTTAAGGATTCTAGCGACCGCAATCCAATGCTTGGCCTTCTGTAATCTGTCACTAAGAGGCGATCTGTCTCCTTCGTAATTCTCGAAAGGTGCCAAAGACAGGATGTCCAAGTTGAGATTTTGGCATAACACGCGGATCTTCTCAGCGCCCTCGAGAATCGAAATATTTTGAGCTTGAGAAAAAGCTTCCAACTCGAAATAGACAATTTCAATGCCTTTGTATCCGGCTTGTGCTGCAGCCTGAATTTTGTGGTCCAGGTGATGAGAAGGGTGTTGGCCCAGAGATAAGCTGGCGATAGCCAATTTATTCGAGAGCATGATGTGGGCGTCTGGACAGGGATAATGACGAAAATTCGGCTGCTAAGATAAGAGAAGCCAAAGCAGGACTTTTATTAAAGTTACAAGCAACATATATAACAGGGGGGGGCAAACGCGGGGTGAGTTCGGATTCTGATCTCCGCGTGGCAGATGAGACGGACATGACTGTCTGTCTCCACCGGAGGTGTGAGCATGACCTCAGGACTACATGGTATTTTCCAGAAGCCTGGTATGGCACTGTCTTCTCAAAGCCACTCAGAATGCTTTCAAATGGCTGCTCCTGGAAAGCGTTTTCCGCATCCTGCTACTGTTTCAAGAATGACGGATCCTATAAATCCAGCGCAATGCTCCAGGCGAGCTCTGTTGAATCATCACCCATCTCTGCAACCATCACTTATCTCTGCAGATTTGTTCCATATTTCGTTGACAATCAAGTACTCTCAAAATGGTATCCGCTGTCCTTCCCCCAGCTTCGACAAATATTGAAGCCACTTCGGACAATATCGACGCCGTCAATGTCCTCAAGGCAAACGCAAAGCAAGCCGCAAAGGACCTGTACGATGAGTCCGAATTCGATAAAGCCAAGGACAAGACAGGTTTCCGCCAGTTCAACGATGCTTGTGACCGAGTCAAGAATTTCTATGCTCAGCAGCACACCCTACAAACAGTGGCATTCAACTTGAAGGCCCGTAATGACTTCCACAATAAGACCCGTGCATACATGACTGTTTGGGAAGCAATGGAGAAACTGAACACATTCATTGACGAATGTGACCCCGACACCCAAGAATCCCAAATGACACACCTGCTCCAGTCCGCTGAAGCTATCCGCAAAGACGGCAAGCCACGCTGGATGCAACTTGTTGGGTTGATCCATGATCTTGGCAAGCTCCTTTTCTTCTTCGGTGCTCAGGGCCAATGGGACGTTGTGGGAGACACCTTCCCCGTCGGGTGTGCGTTTGATGATAGAATCATCTTCGGGACTGAGTCTTTCAAGAAGAATGAGGATTTTGCGCACCCAATCTACGGCAGCAAGTTCGGCATCTACTCCCCTGGCTGTGGTCTAGATAACGTCATGCTCTCTTGGGGACACGATGAATACCTTTATCATATCGTCAAGGAGCAGTCGACCATTCCCGCTGAGGGACTTGCTATGATTCGGTACCACTCGTTTTATCCATGGCATCGCGAGAATGCCTATCATGAGCTTATGAACGAGCATGACAAGAAGATGCTTGAAGCTGTACGGGCCTTCAATCCGTATGACTTATACTCCAAGAGTGATGAGGTGCCCAATGTTGAAGAGTTGAAGGTGAGAATCATTTCTAAATAACGCCACTTTACACAGCTGTGTGCTAATGTGATTCCAGCCATACTATCTTGAACTCATTGATGAGTATTTCCCAACAAAGGTTCTGAGATGGTGATAGCTCCTCTCCATGGATTTCTCTCTAGGTTTGGAGTGTTTATATGTGTATGACATAGATGCAAAGTATTGAGGCCGCTCGAATGGCCAACACGGCAACCCAATTTATGATTTGATTTCGCTCGTTAGAACTTAGGACCAATTCAATTTCTTCGCAGTATGCTATTCCCTCTACATAGAAATATGGGCTCAAAAATGAAACTCTTCTGTGATTCCGGATCTCATATAGCATTTGAAAATCAAGTCAGGCAGGATACAGTAGCCGTGACTGTTCGATATTCACGACTTGTTTCTGGGGGTTTTCAGGCGAATACTCGTTTGTTTCAAAGAGTAATGGCAGAGAGATTCGTTTCTGAGATCCCTTCATCTTGGCCTCTATTTGACAAACTACCAGTACGGATACATCAACTTCTAGGAGGGGATACTGGACTTGGGGTTTCTCTCTGAGACTACATGGAAACTCACAATCGGCTATTCAGTAGGAGTCCGTTAGATGAGGCGGAGTGATGTGATCTCTACTCTTCTAGGTTTTTCCAATTGAAAGTACGGCAGGCGCTGTCGGAAATTATATTCCTCTGCAGCTGCAATGTTGTCATGAACTCGTGATGGGAAATGAAATAAATTCTATTGGCCCCTCCTATCCACCTCCGTGGCAAACTTTCCCCAGCTGTGGGGCCCAATAGGAGAAAGCACCGGAATGCGGGGTGCTTATGATAACGCATTGATTGGTGCTCGGAGACCTAACACCGCCCTAACTGTTGAGTACCTGAGATACTATGCAACCTCCAATTTGTTGACCGTGCGAACAAAAGCTCTTCTGAGGAGAAGAGAGCTCGGAATGCAAAGGGCACATCTGAGACGAGTTGCAACCACCCTAAGATTCTCGACAATGGAGTAATTGATTTTCCAAACACCCGCAGCACGAAGCTATTTCGGTTCTACGCAAAAGTCTATGTAGTATTTGTCCTTGGAGTTGGAATATACGAAGTGGCATAATCATCTTGGCTAAGAAGCCGAACTCTTTGTGCTCTCTGTGTACCTGATTAAAACCATAGGCCAAGTCGATACTGGGGTACTCAGAGGTACAATCTAGTTTTTGACGGTTCTTCCATCAAAGTAAATCTTCTCGCCGCTAATAAGACTTCGCTGCAATGCTTGCCCGATAGAAACCGCTTTGACGGAGCTTTGCAAGCTTATTGGAGGTGGGGTGTTATCCAGACAGCAAGCTGTGAACTCATAAGCCTCAGTAATGAATGCTTCCCGGAACCTCTCATAATAATGCTGTGGCAGCTCACGTCTGGCCCCCAGTGAGTCATGAATTTCAACATGATTCTTTCTCACTTGCATATTCACCCTCACAGAACCTTTCTCACAGATGATTTCTGAGGTGTCCTCCTGTCCAGCCGCCATCATACGCGAACAATACAAAGCCGCTATCTTCCCACCCTCGAACTCCACAGTCGCGATTGCATTATCCCGGTCGTTGCTCGCCTCTAGCCCTGGATGAACGGCACAGACACCAACTGCCTGCAAGCTCTTGATCTGGCGGTTTTCTCCCAGGAACCAAAGCATGAGGTCAATGTCATGAATGGAACAGTCCACGAAAATACCGCCACTGGTCTTCGCGTACTCGACGAAGAATCCTGATGAATCATACAGATCTGCTGTTTGCGATCGGAAAAGCACTGGTGATCCGAATTCACCCTTCTCGACCCTCGCATGGGCTTCGCGGTATGACGCATCGAATCGACGAGAGAAGGCACACATCACTTTTTGCTGCGGGTATGTTTTGAGGGACTCCTCGTACGCGGAGACCACAGATTGGGCCTAAGCCATAGTATCGCTCGTCAGCATCAAGTCTTCACAAGGATAAGTGGCAAATCAACACACCACTTCAACATCAATGCTCAATGGCTTCTCGCAGAGAACATGAAGGCCTTTCTTAATTGCTTTCAGAGCTTGCTCTGCATGCACAGCCGTGATACTCGCAACCACAACCGCTTCCAGATCAGCTTTTTCAAGCATTTCATCGTAGTCCTGGAAGATTTGCACCCCTTGAAGGTTCTCCGCTGCCCATTCACGCTCATTAGGATCGGGAGTACTGGCAGCTACCACGTTTGCGCGGGCAGTGAACTCATGGAAGTTGATGGCATGGCGCTTGCCTGTTTATGGTTAGATATACTGCGAGTACCGCGAGGGTGCGAATGCCTACCCATACGGCCAAGGCCTGCGATACCGACACGAAGTTTTTGGGCGACCATTATTGCGAATCTGATATCAAGAAAGAAAGATGTCTCAAGAGCTTGAGGAGATATAGAAAAGGTAAGTACGGGGTCCAAGGCTATATACATAACGAAGCGCAATAGTCCTGTGGTTCTGGTGTGGGACCTTTAGCTAAAGTTTTCGGATTTCAATGTCCGATAAGAATATACAAAATGCTACCAATTATGAATAGGCTGGTCATGATTACCTGACTCCCAAATTCCTGAAGTATACCAGTTCCGCGGGGAAATGGATCCGAGGTAAGTAGAAATCAAAATGAGGGGATAGTTGGCAGAAGCTATGTACTTACTAAGTAACTGGATGTACATTGAGGTTCAAAGTAAATGTCTCCAACCAAACCCCCTCCGATCCCTTTCGGCCGTATTTGGATTTTGCCATGGTGTGTTCAGGGAGCAATTTCGCAGTGCTCTGTATCAATAACGGCATCCTTCTCCTGCAAATCATCACTCTCAGTACGAGCGATCCGCGTTGCGTCTGCCCAACTCATGTCTTTTCCTGCATTGTGCTTGATTTCAAAGAGCCGATCAACTTGTTCTAGAGACAATGTCGCAGTCTCAACGTAGAAGTAGTATATGATTGGGATAAAGCAAAAGTTGAAAATGGCGTAGAGCATATAATACCGCCACTGGATGTTTTGGATGGCGGTAGGGGTGACCACCACAACAACATAGACGAAAAGCCAATTGACTGTCGTGGCAAAAGACGTGCCGATGTTGCGCATTTTCTGAGAATTGATTTCGGCGGGGTATATATAAGGGATCGAGAGCAGCGACATTCCGTAGAAGACGTAGTAGACGAAAATGAAAACCACGGCCATGATCGACATACCCTTGTTGTCTGGCCCGCCGTATCGCAAACCCACAGCAACAAGAGCAAAACAAAGGCTACTGGCAGCCACGCCCATGAGCATCAGCCTCTTTCGCCCAACACGGTCGATCAAGAGAGCGGCAATTGAGCCCCATAACATGAGCGACATGGAGTCCACAGCGGACAAGATCAAAGCCATGCGATTGCTCAGACCAACTGATCGGGTAAGGACCACTGGGAGGTAATATGCGATAACGTTGGTACCTCCCACCTGTTGGAAGAATGCAGTACCAGCTCCCAGAAGCATACGGGGAAGTGTTTGCTGCTTACTATTCCGAGTGAAAATTTCTTTCAGGGCCACCGACTGCTGCACTTCAGCCTCATGGTGAACACCAGCAACTAAACACCAGCAACTAAATGTCGAATCTCACTGGTGACAAAAGGATCGTTATCTGGCTTTGATAAGAGCCTGGCGAGAATGTTTTGTGCCTTACTAACGCGATTCTTCATAATAAGCCAGCGAGGCGACTCTGGTGTCACAAGAACTAAGGCAATGGTGATGATGGCAAAGAAGCACTGGAATGCCAGAGGAAAACGCCAGCTCACATCTGAGTGCGGAATAAAGGTAAAGCCATAGTTCATCCACTGCATCCAGGTGAGCGATTTGGTTTGATCATTTGAGGCTGATGAGTACTGACATTCGTAATCACAATGCCGAAAATATTTGTGACTAGCTGAAAAACAATGAGTTTACCTCGATCTTTTGGCCGCGCAGTTTCTGTCTGCCAGATAGGTATAGCGATGGTATTCAGTCCGTTTCCGATTCCTGCGACCACACGACCGATAATCATCTGCGCGAGAGAATATGAAGCCGTTTGGAGGATTGCACCAATGATCAAAATCGCGCAGCCGATGAGAATACATCTTCTGCGGCCCAACTTGTCACCGGCATACATGGACCCGAGTGTTCCGGTAATGCAGCCGATATCGTATGTTGCCACGATCTGACCTTGGATCGTAGCTCCCGGGAAGCCGAAGGTCCTCAGAAAGGGTTCATTGTCCAGGAGACCACCAAAAACGCCCTGGTCATAGCCGAAGAGAAGAAACCCAGCACCGCAAGCAGCAGTGATTCCATACTGAAGCGCTTTTCCCTGGGCGTCCTTTAGGAACATGGTAAAAAAGGGTAAAAAAGATGATGGGGTGGTATCAGTATCTATGAGAAAGAGCGAGATAGCATGTCCAATTCGAAGTCCATCCAGGCAATGCTGGACTAACTTGATTTATCTTAGATTTATGTTAGACCAGTGATGCAATATATGAAGGGTGAGGATATAGCGACACCCCCTAGTGCTACAGCAACACTCTGTAGGTTTGAACGACATCCCCTTACCTAATCAGGTAAGGTGTGATCATGTGATCAGCGCAAAATTAGATTTTCTGTGGTGGACTCCGCGGAGGATGAAAACATTTTAATTTACTATATAAATTTGATGACAGGATTCGCATGTTTAGTTCCTTCTAATTATATATTCTAATTATACAAGATTCTAACTAATCAGAAGCCTCCATTCTTAATATCATGCCACTGTAGTAAGCCTGCTATTTCACTACGCGCCTGGCCCCCCTGCCCCTAAAACTAATGATCTTGCTGCTCTGTATCTTGATGAAATTAGTTTCTATTACTTAGGGAGAAGGCTTCCTGGATAGCTTCTCAGTAGCTTGTTAGCACTAATTAACCAATCAGATCAGGGAAGGGCTATCTCGTACGCTCAGGTAATAAGTGTGTATATTGTCAGTCATCTTTCTGCGCATTAGACGTGTTAGAAGCCTTAGAATTAGTATTGCTGGAACCGCTGCTATCTGAGCTTTTATAACCTTAAAGATAGGCCTCTAGAGTCACTATAATAGGTAATTATAAGCCTCTGTAGCCTTGCGTTGGATCATGTATACTATATACTATAGTAAGGTGATGTTAATCATAATACCCTACTACTAAGCCCTAGCCCTGACCTAGCACTAAGCCTAAAGTGCTTATCACATGTGCAGAAAAAATCCACTTTGCGGGAGGTCACATGATCATGCCTTACCCAATTGGGTAAGGGGGGTGTCGTTCGAACCTACAGAGTGTCGCTGTAGCACTAGGGGGTGTCGCTATATCCTTGCCCTATATGAAAGCAGATCAATGTGAAGATCAACATCCGTGGAATCCATTCACCGAAAGCCCGAAAGTCATTGCCACACCGGGGCCGAGCCAGGTTTATGACTGATTGGATCTGCAGAACAGCCGAACTCCACATACGGCAAGTCATTGGAGCAAAACCGAACATCCATACACAAATCAATGATTAGTAAAATGGGATTTTACAATTTTTCTGCCAGCAATAAGCACCCAACTGTTTTTAGATTTCAATATCTCTTCCCTTAGGCATATCCGATCATTACAATAATATCCCTATTGCTTAATATGCATTTAGAAAATCGATATTTTTATACGAAATATATGGTAATTATCATCATACTTGTCTGTATCTAGATTATTAATTTAATATCTTACCCCCCGGCCCGGGGAGGAGGGGGAAGAAGAGGTTTAACGTTCATTTTTAATAATTGTCAATGGTTAGTAGTATATATATATATTTCTGTACTACCTTCATAACTAACCCCTGACAGAGATGATTATTCCCTTACATCTCAAAACCACTAGATATCAAACCATCACATAGTAGGGATATCGACTCGCCGTATCAAATCATCATATAGTAGGGATACCAAATGGTATAGGAAGGTAATTCTACTTCGGCGGAACTCCGAGCGGTGTACAACTTAGAATAAATCAATTTATGTTTTCTTGGTTTTGTCCCAACAATCTAACGACCACCATTGCGGGGTAGTCGGCATACCCCAGATTTTTCAATCTCATTTGCATTCTGCTCCTGCGGTTTCCATCTTGACAGTGGACAGCACAATAATGAGCTCTATGAAACAGTATGTGAAGCGACGACATGCCACTATGGCATGCATCTCCTGTCGGGAGAGCAAAGTGAAGGTATTTCCTGCCCCAGATTTTTACTCTTTGCTAAATTAATCAAAAAATAACAGTGTGATGGCGAAGTACCATCTTGCTCTCATTGCACAAGCAAGAAAAAAGAATGTCGCTATCAAGCTTTTGATAAGAGAAAGTGAGATAATTATACTACCCATACAATCGCGATGGAGCCATCATGAGACTAAGACTTCACCATGATCATAGGTTACCTCTTCGTGTCGCAATAGAGCTGCTGACCTGCAGAGTTGATCAACTGTGTCAATTTATTCATGAAAATGGCCTTCAACCCCCGAAAATGCCTGCTGATAAGGATGCTACCCTGCAAAAAATTCTTGACACCCTTGGAATGACACAGCAAACCGTCAGCCCAATCCCTCCTCCGAATAATGCAACCACGAAGCCTCCAAGAACGGTCAAGCCCGATGAGAATTCTTTACCTACTTCTACGATGGCCCCATTTTCTGTCTCTTCAGAGAGTTTCGGGGACAGGACCTTGGATCAACAACATGCTACCAGTCCGCCCTTAACTGAGCAAGGTCACTGTTTACCGGATTCGGCTTTGTCGTCAATTCCACAACCCAATGGCTCTTCAATCATTGCATTTGAAGGTGATCAGTCCGTCTTGAGTCTCTTTGCAGAAGACAGCCCGGGCAGTATATTCAACGCCTGGCTTTTTGACCTAGACTTCGGTACACACTTTACGCCGTATGCGTCCGACATGCTGCAACAACAACAACAACAACTTGTCTTGAGCTCTTCGCCCGATGATGGACTTGCTATACCACCAACGGCCCAAGCAGAGTCTATCGAAACTGTTTATAGCGAAAGTAGCTCTACCCTTCTCAAGGAATCGGCCAGCACCTCCGACATTGAAGGCCTGGTTGATGAGATCTCCGACCGGGTTGGTACCTTAAAGATTGGCCCTGGAGGGAAGACACGTTTTTATGGGCCAACATCCACCTTCAATTTGAGGGAAATGCCATCCCCGGACAGTTATGAAGCCGATCGGCCAAACCCCACCTATCATTATGGGACAGAGGAAGAAATTCCTGCGTCTGTGGAAGATCATCTTCTCGACCTTTATTTCACCTGGCAGGACCCGTCATTCCATGTCGTTGATCGACATATCTACGAAGAAGCAAAAGAAAAGTGGAAAAACAGGGAAGAGACTCCTTTCTATTCAGAGGCACTGCGGAACGCAATGTGAGTCACTTCTATTACCAATGCCCTCCGGAGCACCCGCCCTGACAGTTTCCAAAAGGTGTGCGCTTGGTAGCGCTTTTGAATCTCGATACCATCCGACTGTTATCACGTTCCCGAAGACGCTTGTTGAGTTTTTTGGCGATCGTGCGAAGTCAATACTTGAAACAGAATTGGATTCTCCTTGTGTTGCAACCATTCAAGCAATGGTCATCTTGAGCGGCCATGAGATTGGAAACGGAAGAGATGCAAGAGGGTGGCTATATAGCGGTAAGTCCACCTTGAAACCTCGATGATTCCATTCAAGAAAACTTACTTGCTGCCTAAGGATCGGCGCTGAGGCTGGCATTCGATCTTGCTTTGCACCTTGACATGTCTAGCTACGTGTCTGCGGGGATGATGTCGGCTGCCCATGCAGAGCTTCGCAGGACAGTCTTCTGGACCGCATACGTTGTTGACCAGTTTGTCATACCCTCCCACTACGTGTACTTGAGTACGTAGTTTGTCTGACTATTGTCTAGTCAATTAGGATTCCATCTAGGTAGACCCTTTCGCACCAGCATGGAGGATGTGACGGTTGGAAAGCCCTGTCAAAATGCAGGTTCCAGAGGGCATTTCGAATGGACACCCTGCGAGCCGTCGTCTTCTGCCAGCCGCGACTCTGGCTTGCTGGATATCAAAGATGAGATCAGCCAACAACTAATTTCCCTCTGCGAGCTGATGGCCCCATGCGGGTATATCCTGTAAGTATCTTTGTCAATATCACGTCCGGCCCTATTGACATTCCCAACAGATACGGTACCTCCAGCATCTCAAAAGAGGTTCTCCAAGAGCTCAATGCGAAAATTGTCGCCCAGCTCCAGAGGTGGAAAGCTGCCCTTCCGCCTATTTTACAGATTGATCTTGACAACGTCACCTCGCCATACCTTCCGCATGTGCTGCTTCTTCAGTATGTACCTTGTTTTCTTGCCACATCTCCTTTTCCTCCAGTCTAACCAGCACCAAAGCATGCAATACCACCAGAACATAATCTACGCCCACAGACCATGGATATCAAAAAGCTACCTACAACCGCAACCACCAAGAGGACCCGGATATATGCACGCCCGCGAAATGTGCATCCAATCTGCCATCACAATCTCCAAAATCCTCAATCTGTACGAGTCTCACTACACGCTCCGTCGAATCAATGTACAAGCAGTTTCCATCACATCCTCCGCCATCCTATTCCTCCTCTTCGCCGCCGTCTCGAATTACCCCTCCCGCTCTCAAGACAATATCTCACTGTATCTAACGACATGTTTCAGAGCCTTGGACGAGTTCGCTCTTTCCTGGAAAAGTGCCCAGAGAGCAAAAGACCTTTTAGTTGGTTTACAGCGTCAATGGGATCTACGGACGCGGTCTAATAAACTGCGACAGCAGGCTGACGGGGCGCTGTTTACTCCGCGGAAACGGTCCAAGACTTCTAGCGGACTTTATCAGATGGCGCCTGTTTCTCATGATTAGGGTCTTAGGTAGACTTTGATTTGGATGGTATGCTTTTAGGTCAGAGGCAGGGCTCTTTCGCGGAAGATATCATCAGGATATCTCTTGCTTCAGCCCTTGATGCTGGTCGTTTGGATCATCACAGCAGCAGGTAAGCGAGTATATCATTTGCGGACCTTGGAATATGATAAATCATGTACAGAGTATGCTATATCCCATTTTTGGTTCTGTTATATAGAACCAGTTCACAACTTTCACTTCTAGTATTGAATATCTTTTAATCCTGCCCAATGCTCCCTAATAATCAACCTACAGTCCTAGTAATAGTATCATGCACAGAGTCAATATATCCCATACTAAATCTATATGGCTATTACTCCACCTAGTAATAGTGTTATGCGTGGAGCGCATATTTCTCATACTAATTAGGGGTGACTGGATGACCAGCCTGGTTGTCATGTCAGAACGGAGCGATGTCTGAGATCATCTACCCGGGCAGTCCAGCAGTAATGTGCAAACTCACCGTGAATCTGGACAGTATGCTGATCGATCTTGAAGATCGTTTCACTCCATAGATTAAGTTGCGGTGCCTGCGCTGATCCCCCAACCATTAGGTGGCATTCCTGGCTGTATCAGACCACATCCCGAAGGAGATCTGTCCCTTGACTAGATCAAGGAAGAGGTCAAGGGGTGGATGCTCTTTTATTTAAGATATCCTATCTATACCCAGAGGTAATTAAGGGACTAACAGTTAGGTATTGCGTGTGTGTGCTGTCATCACTATCCGTGATGATGAAGAATACGAATTGGGCTAATAGCGAACCCTCATCAAGCAGTGGAGTTCTGCCACACCAGTTAATGAAGAGAGCCTACAAACAGGTTGCCTTGAACTCACTGTGTGTAAGAATAATAGTGTAGTTAAGGATTCTATGTTTATGTGTCCTTTTAATAAGCAGAGCCACATATTTTATACTCTATGTTTAGAAAAGGCTTAGATGATGGCCAGCATAGCAAGGACGGGGATAGATATCAGAACCTGCTGTACGCTTCCCTGTCCTTTTCTCTGCTTCACCTACCCTGTGTAAGGGTATACTAAAATAAGCTTTTAAGGCTTGATATAAACCTGCCTATCCTTTATGTAACTATGATTAGTGGAAGGAAGATATTAAACTCTATGTACTATGGTTAGTTAGCCCTCGAAGCTGCTGGGAGAGGTAGAGAGTATGATCTTAAACTTCTAGCTTCTTCTAATGATATTAGAAGTTACAAGGAACCATGCATGTAGGAGAAATTACAGTCTGGAGCTAATCCAAAGCTACATTTCTTCCTAACCTGCCTGAGTAAGTTTTCTCAAGGAATATATCAAGAAACAGAGATAGAACTTCTTTATGGAGCATATGTATTGTGCATTGATCAGTGCACATGGCTCTGTAGGCCCACATCCAATAAATACCACTGTTTGACTGCTATATCTCTTATATTACTATTACACTCCGTTATTTTATATAAACCTGGTTTTGATAGCTATTACTATAGCACTATCCTATTTCTAGACTGACGTAGTGCATCGCGATGAGCCACTGGTCTCCTATATCAAGATGATGTTCCGGACTGGGTACTTGCTGGGAGAGAGGAAGCATGAGTAATAAAGCTTACTACTTTAATAGATAAAGGTATAAAAGTAGATGATGATGAATAAAAGGAGATATAATTATTAATTTATAAATTATACCTATGAAAGCATATCCCTAAGGTTTTAATCTAGAAATTAGGTAAACCTTACTATAGTAATACATAATATTACTAGTAAGCTAGCAGCTTATGGCTAGGGTATAACTATAGTAGAAATATAGATCTAAATAAGTAGTTATTCCTAGTAATAGTGTTATGCATGGAGTCCATAATTCCTATACTAATTAGGGGTGATTATAAGGTCTCTAGAGTATAGAGTCTATAGCTACTCTTATCTACTCCTAGAGTCTATAGTTAGAGTCTATATCTACTTTAATACTAGAGTCTATATCTACTCTATTTCTAGGAGTCTATATCTACTCCCTTTTCTCTCTTTTAAAGTTATTCCCTATCTACTCCTAATAATCCTACTCCTGTACTTACAGAGGTTATAAAAGCTAAGGTTTTTATAAATTATTATTATTATAAGATATCTATAGTTCCTCTATTTATATTATCTATTATCTTATATATAGATTAACCCTTACTATTATGACCCATACTATTTACCTAAAATAGATAGGTAGATATTACTATTATATTAATAACTATATATATGCTACAGTGAACTCCCTAAATTAAGAAAGGTATATAAAAGGAAGACTACCCTACCTATATATTAAGTATACTAGGAAATATATTTCTAAAGTTTAATATAACTAAATGTTTAGTATACTGCTTTCAGTCATCTGTTTTCATACCTTGTGATGCTTGCGGAGTACTACCGCAAGCATATTATATTATTAATGAAGATATATATAGACCCCCTTGTCTGACAGGTTAGGAAGACAAGGATTAGTCTTATTATTAACTAATCTACTGTTTTATTATACTATTTTTGGTCTAATACTTTATCCCTTATTGATTCCAAGTCTTACCTAGTCAACAGGCTTATCTACCCTGTCCAGTGGATTATCCTTACACTAGCTAAGTATATGTATAAGTATCTTAAGGCTATAAGAAGCTGTCTAACCTAGATATAAGATCACTAAATAAATATAATAATTAAAATTATTATATGACCTTATATATGACTCTTACTACTTAAGGAATACTAGATGGAAGCTACAGCAGATAATACTAGTCTATAAGAGATATATAAAATAATAGAGGAAGGAGCTATGTAATTCCTAAAGGAGTTATATATATAGGTATTAATTATAGAATATATAATATTACTAGATAGCTATCTACTATACTAGGGCTATAAATAGGTTCTAAACTCTAAACACTTATAGATATAGATCTTATAGGAAACCTATAATTTAGTATTAATAGGCCACCCTAGGAAGAATATACTATACTTAATAATTACTTAGAACTTCTATTAGCTGGAACTCTCTATAGATATTTAATAATTTATAAAGAACTATAATAAGTGTAATACTAACTATATATAGTATAAGTAGTATTAAGGATTATTAAAATCCTTACTAATCCTAGATTAAAAGTAGCAGGAGATTACTATTAACTTTATTATTAAGCTATCTACTTCTAATAGATATAAAGATATAATAATAATTAGTAATAGGCTTAGGAAGGGTGTAATCTTAGTACCCTATAAATAAATAAACTCTAAGATAGTAGTATAGCTATTAATTAACTAGTTTATTAGTTACTATAGTATTCCTAGTATAATCATGTCACACCCTGGGATCCGTCTCTGCTGTTCTCTGCTAGTTAACGACTTTGGGAACAGGGTGATATAGTCCCTGGACTATATCTGATACTTGCCTAAGGCCTACCCTCTATGGTAGCCTACTATATACTAACCCAGGTATATAGTGTTGTGTGATATAATAATCTAACTAGGATCTAATATAATCTAAAGGTATAATAATCTTATCTAAGATTAAGGATAATAAGAATAATAATAGTAGAGATAGAAGTAAGGCCTATTAAGGATATATCCTTAATAGTAAAAGAGTAACTAATAAATTAGACTAGTAAACTTATACTTAAGTAAGTTATCTTTATTAAATATAAAGAATTAAACTAAGATCTCTAGATATAGTAGTAATAAGCATCCTTATATAGTATCTATAGCTACTTCTTTAACTACTCTTCTAGAGTAATTCCCTTAGTAATTCTTTACTACTCCTTTAGCTACTTCTTTATAGTAGCTAGATTAGTAGCCTCCTCTTACCTACTCCCTTATCTTATTATAGGAGTATCTAATTATATAACCTAAGGCTTAGCTATTTTATAAGGTTATCCTCTTATAGGGTTAACTAGCTAAGACTTACTAGTATTTCTATTAGTGCTATAATATCACTCCCCCTCTTTCATAGCTTTTATTCTTAAAAGATATAAGTAGTGTGTGTTTGCCCCCTTATTTCTATTTTTCTTATTTTTCTTATTTATTATGCTTTTAGCTAATAACTTCCAAAATGCTAGTAGATAATGAGGCTTATAAAAAGAATTATTTATCTTAGTATTATTTAATTCTTTAAAATAGTATCCTTAATAAGAGCCCTTGCTCTGTATATATCTATCTTAATTTATTATATATAATAGATTCCTATTCCTATAATTATGCTGAGTGCACTTATTATAGTTAAAAGTATAAGAAATAATTTTATAGTAAATATAAGTAGTTAAAAGTGCTTGGGGAATGCAAAAAGATCTAAAATAAAATTAATTTAACTAAAAATTAGATTAAAGCTTTATTTATAAAATTAAAATAACTATATTATTAAGATAAATTCTTAAGGAAGAGAAATAATTAGATATTAACTTATAATATTTTAGTTATAGATTAGCTTAATAAAGAGAATCCTCCTATTCCTTCTAAGAAGCTAGTCCTTACTACTACTTATAATAATCTTTCTCTTTCTTAGTTATAGAATGACCCTTCCCTCTGGGTGAATATTGATTTTTCTGTAAGTAATATTACTAAATAAGTTAGTAGTAACTTATTAGGTTCTTAATAGGCTCCTATATATTTTCTAAGGTATTATAACCTTTTTATTTTATAAGATAATATAGTTTTCTACTAACTTATTTATAACTTAGGATTTATTTAACTTTATATTCCTGTTCTATGTTATTATTAATTTCTATATTTTTAGTAATTTTTGCATTTTCTGGTGCTAGTTCTAATAATAAGATATAAAATACTAGATAAATCTATAATATACTTTTTAGTAGTTATAATTTATAATTAACTAGCCCTTTCTTTTCTTTAATAATAAAGGGTCTAATTTTCTGATAATCTAGTTTCTAACTTAGTTATTTTATTTTAATATTTCTATAAAGTAGGTAAACTTTCCCTCTTTTTTTAAGGTCTA